CTTATTGCTTCATCGCTTGTTTTGTCAGATCAACAATCCCAAAGTATTAATTTCAATAGTATGAGGAGGAGAATACTGGCAAAGTATCTGATCTGAGAGGCTGAAAGTTACAGCGAGTAATGTGAGCTGATAAAAGGCAGTAAAAAAACAAGGTTGTGATTATTATTTATTTCTTTTTTACCCTTTTGCATTTTAAAGACCAGAGAAATGAGTAACTGAGAATACGAGTGTTCAGCATACGAGTGACTAAGCAAACCAATCGCAAGCTTTAACCTTTGGTGTTCAAAATGTCAGGTAACATAGGATTTCTTATTTTGTAGCTTCAGGTTACTATCAGAAATGTTTAAGACATTCAAATATTCACTTAATTGAAACAGTGGTACCTTACCAACAACAGTTGGTACACTCTGTACTCTAAGAACATAACTGCTATACTACTATCCAATACTCTTTTTTTAAATTGTATTTTACATTCCTATAGCATCATTTATAGAGTGGCTACAGTTATATCTACACTGCTTTCACACTGGCCCAGAGCCCTTGAGTCAGCTTGGTTTTTCTGTGCCTTACAGGGAGAAGAAATGGGTGACTGTTGGAGACACGTCCCTTCGCATCTACAAGTGGGTGCCAGTTACAGAGCCCAAATCAGATGATGTGAGTTCATTATCATCACCACCACCATCATCAAAATCATCCAAAGCTGTATACTGATTTATCCAAGCTCCGGGCTGTGTTTGTTCATCTTCCTGTCACTTTATTGCATGTTGGAACCAGTTTTACTAACTAACATTGCGCGTATTCTCCTGCTTCAGAAGAACAAGAACAAGAAGAAGGGCAAAGACGAGAAATATGGCTCAGAAGTGACGACTCCAGAGAACAGCTCTTCTCCAGGGATGATGGACATGCATGGTGGGTGTTTATGCCATGCTCCAAAAGCCTATCATCTGATATTCTGTCATAAACTGTGGAGTCTCCCCACAGCCACTACAATCCAAAATATAAAATGTATTTATAGTTGTATGATACAGCTTCACTTTACAGAAAACGGCAAAAAAAAGGAGAAAAGTAAGTGAAGCTGTAGGACTTCCAGGCAAGCTTGGGAAAGTGAGATAATGTATTCCAGGCATTTTTGGAAGGAAGTAGTTCTTCCATTGGCTGAAACACTCCAGTAACCATACTTGCGTGAGTAACAACAGGCAAACCTTTATCCGGTCTGAATACGCCACCTATCATCTCAAGGCAAAAAACCAGAAAACAAAAAGAAAACCAGGCGGGCCCTGTGCTTTTTTTTAATCAAAGGTTTCTAAACTGGAGGAAATGGTGGATTTGTTAGTGACTACTTTTGAGTAACACATTAAGTTGATTTGTTTTTGCAGTGAGCATTCCCTGCAAAACCTACAGTGTGTGTGTTCATGCTAATGAAGAAGAATGTCACCCAGTGTGTCTGTGTGGCTCATTGATGTGTTTTTAATAGTTTTATGGTTTTCTTTTTTTTTTCAAAGACAGCAGTGGTGCTATGACACAATAATTAGCTAGATTTTATCACAGAGATTACACCCTGATAATGATAAGCGGAAGAGAATGGATGGATTTTTTTTCTTGCCTTTTTAAAGTTCCCTGTTTTTTCTTTGCATATTGTTTTTTCTTCTGTTGCATTATCATGGCGTGAAAATTGACAGCGTAGACCCTTTAATACTCTTTGGAGTCATTCATTTAATTTTTTTTTTATTATGAATCAAGTATTTATAAAAAAAAAATGAGCATGACACTTAATGCTGCAAACCAAAATCTGTTTGCCTTTAAAGTGACTGTGCAATACTTTCAATCTGTGTCTTTGCTAGATGACAACAGCAACCAGAGCTCCATCGCTGACTCGTCCCCAGTGAAACAGGAAAACAGTTGTAGCACCAGCCCTGCCCCAGAGCCCACCTCCACATCACACCGTGACAATGGTGAAGCCAAGACTGACCAGAGCCCAGACAGCAAGAGGGGTTAGGCACTTGCAAACACACTTCCAAATAAACAGACAGACACACATACTTTAAATGACAGTCTTATCCAAAGCTCCTCTAGCAGGTGGTGGAGTTGCATTGTCAGATGGGTGAGGAGCCCCTTCCTGTTTTTGTTTTTATCCTCAGAACAAATAGCATCACACTGTGAGAAGATTAAAATGACTGCTTCTACATAGTCAAACACTCATACGGGGACCACAGACACAGTGCAGCTGCCGTGCTGTTCCCCCCGGGACTTTAACCGTCAACCATCTTTTACCGCCACCCTCAATTCATCTTAATGCCAAAACCCCCTCTCATACATTCACATTCTAACTTACATATTATATTTTTGCATATCTCAATGTACTCCTCACAGCAGCAGTCTTGTGGGGATTGAACCTGGAAATATTGCACCACGAATTTGAACTGAGTGCACAATAAGCAAAGATTAAACATATATACTTATACTTCTTTTTAAAGAATAGTGTAATACATTCACCATTCAATTATGGACCACAGAAGTAAAAACATTACAAGAAATAAATCCTAGAATGAGGTAAACAGGCCAATGAGTGTGTCAGTGTGCGTCTATAGTCTTGTAACCATAACATTAATCAAACCAATTGTTTCTGAATTGATCATAAATAAGCTTCAAGAAAAAATGCCAAACACACACTTATTCAGGCTTCTTACTCCAATTGTCTTTAATAAACAAGTTAAAAGCAGAATCTATTTACTCATGAAAATAATTCAGAGCATATGTGGTTAAATGTGGAGTCTAGTTTGGCTTTGTTGTGATTTTAAAGAAAACCCCACAAGCATTTTTTTAAATGCTTCGGAAATTCGTTGAACACCAGTATTTAGGATGGGAAATAATCAACTTTAAAAATCAGTAAGTATTGTATCTTGTCAGTAGAAGAACCTTTTTTCTTCCTGATACGATTGAACAAGTCTAAACCAGTGTCCTGAAAGCAAAATGCCATCATTTTAACAGAACAAGAACATCTGAAAAGAATTGGTGTAACTCCAAAAGTGAAAACTGTAGATAAATTTGAGGGTGTTTTTGGCAGTTCATCTCTGTGACCACACTGTCATTAAAGTATAAAGTATAAGACAATTCAACAGGTATGTGTGCTCTTGTGCTGATCTATCATTGTCTTAACAATCTCCAGGTAAGAGCATCCCTTCATCAGAGACCTCAGAGAGAGCACAAAGTGCCAAGAGAGACAGCCTGTCCTCAGGGGAGAAGGACTCTTCAGACAGCAAAGCCACTCAGGTATGAACACATCTGTCTATAAAGTTTGAATCGGTGTCATATGATCTGCTGTTGTAACCCCTAGAGGGAGCAGCTGAAAGAAGAAGAAAGTACATCCACGTTACTTCGCTTCTCAGACCCAGAAGATATCCTTTATATACAGTCTATCATATTACTATTTATTAGTCCAGAAAAATCCTCAATATTTTCTTTTCTTCTTGCCTGTAGGACCTAGAGGATGAAGCCCCGCCCAGCAAGAAAAGCAAACTGGAGTCCTCATCTCAGGACTTTGAGGAGAGTTAAATGTTTGGGGCTGAGTCATTACTCTTCTTCAGCCTCCTGTCTCTTTCCCTTTGTCCTTCCTCCATTAACTCTAGATAATTTAGGGCTAATGGACATACTGGCTCTCCTCTCACTCCTGTTTTTCTTCCCTCACCTTCTCCTCTCTACCTAAACTAAAAGGGATAATGGACGTCTCCCACCCTTCCTCTCTCACTTTCACCCTAATGGCTGCTTCCCCTCCAGTTTGTCATCTTTGCCCCTGACACTCCCCTGTCACAGAGGGAGAATGGATATTACCTCTGTTCACTGGTCCCCCTCCGTGCTTCCTTCCAGTCCTCCACACTTTTCACTAATGCCAAGAGACACGCCGAACCTGGGCTGCAACCCCCTCTGTGAACAGGGGCAGCGCTGTCAGCCAAGCCACCACCAGGCCAGATGACAAACACTGACCTGCTTCTGTGACTAAAAGAGTTAACACTGGGATTAGGATGAGGTCAATCGCAGACACTGCTCTGAGACCATTTTTTAAACGTTTCACTGCTAAGGGTTTAGCTCAGGATAACTGAAGAGGCTAGCCTGGTCTCAGATCAGCGGCTGCGGGGGGAACCTCCACCCTAGGACCACGTCACTTCAATCCTCCCGATGCGCCTCCTGTTAGACTAATGTTCTATATTTGTTTAGGAAGTGTTTAGGGTTTTTTTCTCAGGAGGGTCAATGCACTGTTATGGTATGTCACAATCGATCACAGATAGATTTGCTGCTGTAGTGGATGTCTTTTTTCTCTATCCATGAAAAGTTCACCATTGACATATGTTTTTGGGTTTTTTTGCTTTCAAAGAGAGTTTGTTTATGGTTCGTAGAGGAAGAATATGACAACGGTACTGGTTGAGATACACTCTTGGTTAAGTAGTAAAAACAGGCATAGCTAGCGTAGGTCCTGGAGGTGTGCCTTGAGTTGCTATGATTAAATACACGTTTTAGGTCAAGCAGGTTTTGAATTACAATTTTGGTGCCATGTTTTGTTTTGATTTTTGCCTTACAATTATCACTAAATAGTTTTAGCCGATATTTATTTTTTACCTACAACTGTTTTTCATTTAAAAGGAATAGATGAACATTTTGGGAAATATTTGCTTTCTTGCAGAGAGTCAAACAAAAAATATGGCATTGTCACAGCCAGGCATTAGTTAGCTTAGCTTGGTATAAAAGCTGGAAAAGGGAAATGGCTGGCCTGGGTTGGTCTAAAATCAGTCAAATAAGAACTAGGAATACCTGTAATGTTGCAGCAACACACAAATCCACCAGGTTAAATTTCCTTGATGGGTGTTGCCCAAAGTAGGATGGGACAGGAAGTGGCAGAGGGAGAAGCTAGCCTAGCAGAAATAGTATTTGATTTTGGTTATTTTACTTTTGTGAATTTTTCTCTAGGGGGTCACAGCTTCTGTCAAAGACAGTCTGGCACATAACTCCCTGTGAATGACACGACTTAAGTTTTAGATTTGTTTTTGTTTTTTTTTGTTGTTGTTTTTGTCCAAAAGCTTTGGAGATGTTAGTAGGTGAAACTAGCTTACATGTTAACATGCTATTTATTATTTATTTACAATTATTATTTTTACTTTTATACTAGAATGAGATGAAGAAAGAGACGAAGTCCCTCATTACTTCTTGGCACATAAGAAAGTGTCTAACTGTCTCCTGCCATGTAATCGCGTTATATCGCATTATCATAAAACTCTCTGCAAGGAAGCAAATTGGCGTGTTAGTCCTTTACACAGTTGGAGACTGGAATTTGAACACTACCCAGAAGTTAATTTAGTTTTGTCTTGTGAAAATGTTGCAATTTGTAAACTTCAGTCAGAACACCAGTTGTTGGTCTTTGTCTACTTCAGGTGTTTGTTTGTTTTTCTTTTAGCACCTTTAAGTAGAAATTGACCAATTTCCTGGACCGGTTTTCCCACCTGCTCCACCATTTAATCACTTCTCCTCTGTGTAAGTCTTCTGTGTATCACTACTTCTCTATGACCTACTAAAGTCTTTTAGCTCAAACATTGGTTCTAATCCTCCTTCAAGGTGCTGTCTGTTGGCTGAATCCATACACATGTGGCATCAAGCTCTTGGTTTTGTGCAAAGTTGTGCAATTTACTTGAACTTTGTTGTGTGGATTCAGGCCTGTGACCTCTAATGTACAACCTCACACATCTAAGATTTACTTTCATTAATTGAGATTTCCTTGTCAATTTGGATTGAAATGAATTGACTCACCACAAATCAATGATTTCATAACATAACAGGGGCTTTATGATGCAGAATTACTTGATCAGATTTCAGCAAATCAGCATTCACATGGATGGAGAGAAAAGAAATTCAAAAAAAAATGTCTTGGTATAGAGGACGGATTAGCATATACCTCATTCCCAGTCCAGCAGCGCTGGAACTTAAAATGCTATTGTATTGACATTAACAGTTATAAACAGCATTATGTACACTCAGTTTAAGAAAAAAAATCTCACTTATGTTGTAGCTTTCACCTGATCGAGCCAATTGCTTATAGTTTGCTCATAACTGTAAAAAAAGAAAAATGGAAAAAAAGAGCTGTGAGATATAAGATCTTGTATGTTTTGGGGTTTTGTTTTTTTTCTTGGGACCATATTGTTTTTCTTTAGATCTTGTACAGATTTATGGTTTGGTTTGACTTATTTATTCCATCAGTAGTGCTTGGTTTTTATCATGTCCAATGGTTTTGTTTTCTTAATAAAAGTCACAAAATTTTCTGGGTGTTGATGTTCAGTGTTTGTTGAGAAGAAAAAGGGCACGAATCATGAGGACATCTGAAATAGCAGCCTTATCAAAGTATGCTTTTTGCTTTTGAGTGGCTTGTTTCAGCTTGCTTTTGCCAGTATGTGAAAGCTACATATTCAGACACACTTTTTTTCATACCTTTGTTACAGTGGAACAAAGACATGAAAATATTAATAGCAGGACTGACTGCCCAAGGCCCCAATACCAGGAGGGGCCCTTGGAAGCCTCAAATGAACAGTTTTCCATTCACAATTTTTACTTCTACTTAATGTAATCATTAAATTACCTGAATAATTCAACAAAAAAATAAATAAATAGTGGAGGCTTAGATGCCACTTTGACAAATGCTTTAGTCCACTCAGTTCTTACAGAACAGTGCTCAACTCTTACAGTACAGCTAATTAATTTTATTAAGTTGACTGCTAATGAAGACTGAGTCATATCTATAATCAAGAAAGAAAAACTGGGTTATCAAACAAGAAAGAGAAAAACCAAATTTCAGCCGTTAGCAAAACATTTCTGCAACCACAATTACCACCATCTGGTGGTCTTCAGATAGAATGTAGGTTTAATGCACGTACACACTGCCTGAATTTCTTTTACCCAAAAGTTACATGCACGTTTTAGAGTGGTTTTAGCGGTTTTACTTTACATGATTGCCACGTCTTTTTCATGTGTGAATTACACTGCCAAGTTCCAAATTTCTCCTTTTTTCATGCACTCCCACAATATCTGAGGTACTGAAGCCCTGGTTGATTTTTATTTCTATTAATGTAACCAAAACAACAGGAAAATAAGTATATCAATTTCACAATGGAGATGTTTATGTATATACTTTCCTTATTTTTCTTGTCAGACAACTATTGAAATGTGAAAAAAAGTGCATCTGGGACGAGCAGTGGCTGACCGGTAAAGAGGAAAGAAAGGACGAGAGCAGCTTTTCTTTTCTTAGCATTTGTATTGTTCTGTTCAGGAGTATACAGCACATAGAAAACAGTGACATTTTCCACCACATTAACATCTGTAAAATGGTTTGAAACCATTTATAGATGGTGCCTGAAATTGTTACATATAAAACATTACACCAATAATTAGACGCATCACTTATAACAATGTTTTAAAGTCTATACAAATAATTTTCCCCTTGAGTGAAAACCTCCTTATAGAATGTCAGCCTTGTCAACAGGGCAAAAAAATAAGATGTACACATAAAAGCTATCTTTTTGTTCCATGGCACTGTGTACACATTTAGCAGAAGGAAACTTCTGATTAGTATTTACAAAAACTAGGGTCAGTGGTTAGTCATGTATTATACACTGTTACACTGGAAGATTCAATATGATCCAAAATTGTGCTTTAGTATAAGATATATCAAATAAAAACTGCTATACAGGGTTAATTTAAAGAAATAGTTTGGCAATTTAGGTAATTCACTTAGTTGTTTTCTGACAGCTAACATTCTTGTAGTAGCACCTCTAAAGCTCACAAACAGTTATATGATCATGTTGCTTTAAATAGTACAAAAATGTAAAAAAAAGAAAAAAAAAAAGAAAAGGCAATTTGTTTTATTTTCAACACATTATTTATAATGCTTCCCAATATTTCTTCAATATGTGCTAAGCTAACCTGGTGTAGCTTTAAGCTGACTGCACTTTAGAAATCCATTGAAATCCATTCAGTACCTACTGCTGTTTCTTTGTTTATTGTGCTTATAATTACAAAATCCACCAGATGTTAGGATTACCTTTAATTTCTATATATGTGCTAACGTGTGCTTTAATGATGTATTTTGAGGTTATCATTATTTTGTAAGAAACCAGGTTATACAGGAGTTACACATGCTGTGTGGTAACTATGTTCACAGTAAATGTTTTTAGTGTATAATAAGGTGGCTTTCATAAGGTAACTTTAAATAATGATGTATGTTCATTTGACAAAGTAAAGTCCAGTTGTATTGTGACTTTTAACAGTCACAATACAACTGGAATAGACTTTAGTAGTCAGTGTCATTAAACTCTCAAAGCGAAAAAGCAGAATTACTAAAATGTCAAACTTTTGCTTTAAAGGTACTTGTTGCAAATTCCTTTTTTGAAATCATTCTTCACGAAATAGAGAAAAAGAGAGAACTAAAGTTTAAGCAGGGCTGGACTACACTATGTGTAATACCAATTTCCACAACAAGGTGGTGTAGCAAGTCAGTGTAACGTACAACTCTATTTTCAGCCTATTAGTACAGTATAGAGAATAGACAGGAAAGCAGACTCAACTCCCTGGTCCCCTGCTTAAAAATGCTATTTGTAGGGGTACCCAGTGTAACCTACATTTAACCAAGCAAATAACTACGAGCACATTCTTATTTTCAACACACCTGCTGATCAAACCCTGCACCTTGGCGCTGCAAGTTTTCCTTAAATGCCGGAGAGGGTGATTGCAAAAAGTACCTTTAAAGAGGTCGGCATGAAAGTTAGTGCTCAATGATCGGCACCGTCCTCCTTGAAAAAATAGCTTTTAAATACTTTGAGAAGAAAACGCACATTTATTGAATCTTTAAAGTGGATAGTGCAAAGCTATCAAAGTTAGTAGAGGCTTCTGGAGTTTCATTTGGGCAGTTTCCTGTAACATTAGGCAGATGCATTTCAAAAGCCCACCTATACTACAGTAGTCCTAGCACTGACTATACGCCTTCAATCAGTGCTAGCTTATTTTCCCTTAAGGGCGTCACTGGCTAATAAAAGATCATACAATAAATAACAAAATGCAACTTCATTATTAACCTTCAGTAACTTTCTACTGCATCGTTTGAAACATATCAACCTGTGGGAGACTAAACAGGAAAATGTGTTTATTCCTGATGTTGAAAAAGCTGTTGAAACCTAACCATGAGATCTGTTTAGTAGCTTTTGATTAAGTTCCCCATTCGTCACAATATTGCAGGCAACTTTTAAATTGTAAACTTTTAGGCATCTCAGGAAATGGTCCTTAAAAATCTCTTAGAAATAAGAACAATGTGAGATTATAATGAAAAGCTCAGCAGTTACTAAACAGACAGAATTGTGTTATTTAGTTAAGCAATGAAACTTTAAACTGAAAAAAGTATGTGTGAAGGTAAACCCATGCTTTGAAAAAAGGGCCTGAAATTATTATTTTTTGGAAAGTACCATTTCCAAGGTCAAGATTGAACTATATCCATATCAGAAAATATTTACATTTTCAGCATTTAGGTTATTACTAGAACTTAGGTTGCTAAATCTGTTTAAACAAATTAAGTCAAAATTATTTTAAATATTAAACTGAACTATTTTAATTGGAAATCTGTGACAAATTTAAGAAAAAAATATGAAATATTACAAGAAATAATATTATTTTATGATCACTTTTATCATAATATTTTATGATAAAGTGATCATGTTTTGAGAATAAGGGGTCGTGTGAGAATATGAGAATAAAGTTAAGAAAAAATATCTTACTATTATAATATAATATTAATTTGCTAAAGTAAATGCAACAGTCTAAGAAAACAACGTGCCGTAACATTTTGAAAATACACGCAATATTATGAAAATAAATTATTTTAAAAAAAAAGAAATCCCCTCATTAAAAATGTCTGTATAACATTTTAAATAATAAAGCCAAATGATTTATTGAAAAAGTTGTAATATTCTGAGAACAAACAAATAAATTTTTACAGTGATGCAGTATTTTTAGAATACTAACTATGATAATTACCATTATAAGAATTTAGTAATAATATTCCAAATGTCTATTTTAATATATGCACTTGAAACAAAGTGTTGAGGAAAATTTGTGTGCTTTTCCTTGTCAAAGTAGGAATGATATGCAACTTAACGGCAAAGATTTAATATTGAAAAAAAGAAAAAAAATGAATCCAGCTCATACACACTTCAGAAATGGACATTCTTACTTTTTCACAATTCCTTGCATTACCATGTTAGATCATTTTGAAATCTCTGTGTATTCTTCAAGGATTCATGTGTTGTTGTGCTTTGAGCTTTGGGACATTTAATATTAATTATATTTATTGGATCTAATTATGAAGAGAGCCCTGTTAAAAGTTTGTTTATACTTGCTGATGGCAAAGTAACCTGATGGCAGTATAATCACAGGTGATTTAAGATGGCACTGAACTGTTTCACTGTGTGATGAAGAGCATGTATGCTACACACTATTAATATGCAATAAATAAATAAAGCTGGCGTTCTGCAGTACGCCAGTTCGTTTTTTGTATTTATGCATTTCTTCAGCACCTGCCCCATATAGTGGTGAGGATGTGCATGGATTTTTTTTTCTTGTTTCACCTATATGTCCACCAAAACATTACAACTTTTTCAGTTTTATTATTATAATTACTTTTTCCCAAAAATATTTTTCCCTTTTTATTAAAAGGGCTTTACAAAATATTGCATTAAAACAAAAACAAAAAAGTTATGGCAGCATCAGTGTGATTGGTTTCTAGCGTCACACTGAGCTATGTGAAACAGAGTGGAGAGGTGCTTCATCTTCCCTTCATTCAACTGTGCTTCCCTTTGCTGACCATCAACAAATTCAGCCTAAGTTATTTTAGAGAAACTGAAATGCAAAACAAACATTAAAAATGACAAGTGCAGAGGACGGATTCCTTTTGTTATTAACATCAATATTGCACCAAAGCAGCATACAGTATTTGGACGAGCATTCTTCATGACACAGAATGGAGCTGCAGAGTAAAGGATTCAGACCAGGACAGTGGCTACTTCTGATATGCATAAATACAGTATAAAAATACATTATGGAAAAATTTGCAGCGGCTATATTCAGACATGTTGGGTTGGACTGTGGGGAAAAAGAACAGGAGAGGAAACGATGGTAACTGAACTTTTTAAGGCGAGGAAGCAAAAGGAAGGGGAAGGAGAATAAAACACCTGGAGCCTCTAGAAGGTCTGATCATCATTGCAGGACTCTGTGGCATGTCCGAAGGCCTCGCAGATATCACAGTAGGGCCTTTCAACGGCAGGGTTGCCATGGTAGGTGGTGTGAGGTACAGAGTCGGGGCTCTGAGCCTGAGTGGGGCAGTCCTCTGTGTCGTGGAGGTCAAAGCAGTCACAGATGTCACAGAAGAGACGCGGGGTTGCCTTCTTCTCTCGCTTTGATATGCCTTCATCAAACCTACGTTATAGAGAAAAGCGAAAACACACAAGCTGTGGCCATGGGTTTTTATCTGAATATGTTGTATGTAAATCATTGTATACTACACTAGTGTTTTCCTAGTCTTTTTCCTTGAAAGTGTTAGACAACAATGTGATGAGTCAAGTGCGCTGGTGGTCCAGGAGCGGTTTTAATTGTTATGACCAGGGGTGCACATAAGTGGTCCGCAGGTACACATTCGCTGTCAAAATAAAAGACCCGCACCAGATAAGAAGTTGCAACGCACGTTTGCGTACATAAGATTTTCTGGAGGAGGACAGACATTTGTTTAGAACTCTTAAAGATGTCAAAGAAGCAAGCTCCTTTAAGCAATTACTCTGGTGTTCCTCCACCTCCAAAGAAATGTCACTCTAGCGGACAAAAACAGTGCCTTTTATATGTGCGCAAACGCGCGTTGCAACTTTTTATCTGGTGCGTGTCTTTTATTTTGACAGCGAATGCGCACCACTTATGTGCACCCCTGGTTATGACGCAGAAACGACACTAACACAGAGATATCTGATTGTGCACTTAACTCTGTGGTTTGCCATGAATGGAGTGAAGGCTGCAAGCTGATTCAGGGAGCCAATACAAACTACATTCATTCTTCTCACCTCTTATGCCAAACACACCTTCATATTTAGTGGTTTAGTTAAGAAGAAAAATTCCCATCTCCAGGGGATTTTTTTTAAACACTCCCCAGTCTTCTTACATAAAACATCTGCAAGGAGTGATGAGCTTAGATGCCCAAATTCTAACTTTTTTATGCTGCACTAATGAATCATTTCAAATGTCAGTTGTCTGTCTGAACTAAAAGCTTTGCTCAATTATAATAAGCGAGAACAGCAGAAAACTGCCTACACAAGCAAGAGAGATTGATTGGCACTTTTGATTGAAAAACTAGTTAATTAGTCTAGCTGATCAATTCTAGATGATTTGTTTGTGCTCATTAGTTAAATTTTTTTAACAGTATATTTCTTACCCATCAGTCCCGTCGTTACCATTGAACTCAGACAAAGCAAGCTTCTTCAATTTGATCTTCAGCTCCTCATTTTTCCGCTGCAGGTCCACAATCACACTATTCAGGAAGTTGATCTGATGGAGAAAATCACACATATCTCCTCTTAAAGGACGCTGGGGTCATGTGTGCAAACGTGTGCAAACATTAACTGGAAACTGAGAATGAGATCAGTTCTGTTAGCAGCAAGTCTTACCTGTCCCTCTGCAAACTCCTTCTCTTCCCTCAGCTGCTCCAGAGCTGCATCACCTGCAAAAGTATGTCAAAGTGAAGAAAAAGAGTCCACAAACTATTTTTTTGTATCTCTTGTCAGATACAAGACTGAGGTATTTTCTCACCAGAGGGTGGGAGTTCCTTGTCTCCTTCCTCCGAGGCTTGTGCTCCCATAAGCCTTTGCTCTAGACTATGAACGCGGCTCTGCAGCTGAGCTTTGTCTCTCTCTAGCGTTTCCACGGCCGACTGCAGGGTCTTGGCCATGGCATTTTCTCCTCGCAGCACCGCGATCTGCCGATAGAGACAGACAAATACCTTACATATTTGGCATTACACAGGACAAATGTAGCGTGTCCAAGATACTATAAGTTGAGCGTGAGTACCTCATTCCTCAGAGTTTCTAGTTCCCGGTCTTTGTCTGAGATTAAGGCTCCAGTGGATTTCTGGAAGTTTGTGTCCCCCTCTGATTCCACATTTGAGACAATTTCTCTGCAGAAAAATGTGTACAAGGAGTAAACAGTGAGAGGACTTTTTATTTCCAGTTTCTTGCTATTCTTTATTTGCACGCATTGTTTTCTATCTTATAGATAAGACTGTATCCATTTAACGGTGTGATTACTAATGTTAAATGTTGACAGTCTAGACAAGAGCTTAAGATGATTCACAGTGTCAAACGCACACTAGAAAAACAGCTGTAACATAACTGCTCTTGTCTAAGTAAGATTTCACTCTCTCAACAAAAACAGACGTTTCAGTTGAATGAAGAGTGCGAAATCCGAATTGCATAGCGTGTAAACCCGGATTGGAGTTAGTGGTGCAACGGATCACGGTTGATCCATAATCCGAACCCATCCCACTCCACGGTTCGGCACGCACGTGATCCAAAGATTCGAAAAAGAAGAAAAGAAAATATGTGTATGGTGGTCAGTCTGTCAAGCGGTAGTTATGGCCACCGCTAGCGGTCCAAGTGGAGGAGCAGAGGAGTTTGCGGCATTTAAGCAGCCCTTTGCTGCCCAATCCGACTGGGCTACAGCTATTACAAAAACTATTGGGGTGTTTAGCTGCAGACGGGAGGCCGTATTCCGTTGTGCAAAACAAGGGGTTTTGCACAAGGGGTTCTGCAGCTGGTTCAAAATGCGGCTGCACGACTCCTAACAGGAACTCGAAAAAGAGAGCATATAACCCCCGTGCTAGCCTCTCTGCACTGGCTGCCTGTGTCTTTTAGAGTTAATTTTAAAATTCTTATGTTTGTTTTTAAATGCCTTCACAGTCTTGCCCCGCCTTACCTCTCTGAGCTTCTTCATCCCCACATACCCTGTCGGTCTCTCAGGTCAGCTGACCAGCTGCTCCTGGAGGTACCGAGATCCAGGAGGAAGCTCAGAGGGGACAGGGCCTTCTCTATTGTGGCTCCAAAATTATGGAATAATTTGCCCATGCATGTTAGAGAGGCCCCTTCACTGTCCACTTTTAAATCACGTCTTAAAACCCACTTTTATTCCTTGGCTTTTAACCTCAGTGAGACTTAGTTTCTCTTTTAATTGAAGTAGTTATTTAATTAATGATTTCACTCTTCTTTTATTTGTTTTATTTATATCTCATGTAATTTTATTTTACAGTTCCAATGTACAGCACTTTGTGTCAGCTGTGGTTGTTTTAAAGTGCTTTATAAATAAAGTTGATGATGATGATGATGGTAAACTATGATGAACGTGCTTGAGCCACGCTATGATATCTCGTTGCGCGTCCACTTCAGTGACAAGATCGTTCCAAGCATGTATGAGCAGGAAAAGTTTAAAGTTATGGCTGAACTGTCCCAGGCATCTTCTGTTGCCCTAACTACAAATGGGTGGACCTCCAGGGCAACGGAAAGCCACGTGACCGTGACCGCTCATTATATCACAGCGGAGTGGTAGATACAAAGCCCTGTACTGCCCTATAGATTAGATTAGATTAGATTAGATTAGATGAAACTTTATTAATCCCATGGGTTCCTCTGGGAAATTCAGTTTCCAGTAGCACAGCACCGACAGAAGTTGCAGAATGTGAGCAGAAATATACCACATATACACATATATAAATACAGAGAATACAAAAGGGATAAATAGAATAAATAGGAATAAGAATACAAGGGAACGGCACATTTCAAGTATTGTGAGTCTATTACACCGTTGGATATTAACAAAAACTATTGCACAGTGAAAAGGCACTACAGCTTACTTGTTCCCCCCTCCTTTGTCCCCGTTTCCCCTCCCTCTCCCCTCCAGCGAGGAGTTAAACAGTTTGATGGCGTGTGGGACAAAGGACTTTTTAAGTATGCTCGTCCTTGACTTTGGGAGAAGCAACCTCTCACTGAACAGACTCCTCTGGCTGTTTATGGCCGTGTGCAAAGGATGCCCAGCACTGTCCATAATGTCCATATTGCACCCTAATTTATTTTTATATAAGTGCGTGGAATGAGTCTTGAGTTGAATGTTTTTTAATAGGCAAAAAATACTTAAATAAGTAAATGGCGAGTCAAATTTTTGTCTTTTTTTTCCTATTATCGCTGTTCCGAAAATTGATCCGATCCGTGACTTAAAACCGTAATCCGATCCGAACCATGAGATATTTGATCCGTTGCACAACTAATTGGAGTCATTAACATGTTCCATGATAGAATTAGCAACCCACTTTTCTGCAATCTTTGAAAAGATAGGGAGTATGCTAATAGGTTGATAATTAGCAGGGTCTGATTTATCACCCGATTTCTAAATTGGTGTAACTTTTGCCATCTTCTAACTCAGAGGAACAACTGCCTGCGTGATTGATAAATTAATAAGATTGGTCACAGGCACCAAAAGATAAGATTTATAATGCTTCAAGAAATTGGTATCAAATCCAAACTCATCCCTTGCTTTAGAACTTCTTAATTTAGAGATTATATTTTCTACTTCATTTTCTGAATATTGAACTTTGAATCTTGAGGAGAAACATCCTCTTTGGTGTCGGTATTCCCAATATTTTGTTGAAGGTCACAAGAATTAGAAAACAATTGTGCAATTTCATTAATGGTACTTGGAAATGGAAAGGAAAAAAATCATTTAATTTAGTAGCGAGGCTGAGAGGCTCTGATACCAGTTCACTGGCAAATTTAAGTTCAAGGTCTTTATCAGCATTATGCTTACTGTTTGTTAATATTTTCCCAAATTAGCTTACAATTTCCTTTGGCACTATTAATTAGTCATGAAAAAAATTTGCTTTTGCAATTCTCAAAGTTTGTGTGACTTTAATCCTTGCAGATATAAAATTGAATCGATCGGTATTTAATCCAGATTGTAACAATTTTTTAAGTAACTGGTCTCTGAGTCTCATAAGCTGTTTACACTCAGTATTAATCCAAGGCAAGGAATAAACTCATTTCTTTAAATGGCTCTCTTTCTGAAATTGTGACAAGACCCCTTTTATAGCAGAATATTTATTAGTGTCATCACATGATAGTATGCTAGTCCAAAATTATTTAGAGCTACCATTAAATTTTGTTCTTGACTATTTGGAATAAATGTTTTTTTTTTTAATATTCATGCTTTTACTGACACATCTCAGTCGCTTGACGGAGGCGGTCGCACTTTCTCCTTCTCCCTTATCTTTCCTGCTTGGCTTCTCATGTCTTTCGTATAGTCTTGCTTATTCTCTAACCCTAAGAGAGTCTCCCAGACTTGTTCTCTAAAAACATAAAGAAGAATTATGGATTTGATCAACTGGTCCCTTAACGGAATTGACACCCTCCTGGGCTTGGGAGAGCCCGATTGTCCTGCAGAGACGTTTGCTGCCGGATACTCGATGGTCAGTTGCGTCGTGTGTCTGGCGACACTCTCGATGGAGGACTTTGAATGACATCTACCAATTTGGAACTACGGTAACAGAGTTCTAGCTGATTGGAGCTGGCTTGGACCTGGCTTATCGAAGAATAAGAAGCAACTACAGCTGTTCAAAATACCACAAGGGTTGCTGACATGATAGACGATGGGCAGGGCTGTGAGTACTCAGACTGTGTGTTTTTTTTTTAAACGTAATATGGATAACATCTTGAAGAAGAACAACGGGAATTGAGAGACCTGGTGGCCAGTGACGGACATCAGACCAACTGTAAAATTGGAAGCAGTTTGTTCGCACTAACCAAAACAACTACCATCTTCATCTCATGTGGCCCCCCTGGCGCCAGCTGGATGCTCATAACAATTCTCCCTAGATAATAAGACTGTTTGTTATGACTCTCTCCCTCCTCACCCGCGTCGACTGAAGATTGTTGACTTTTGCTTAACCAGGTGAAGGGACACTTTCTCTCGGTTGAACACGGAACACAAACACACCGACGCACATATACACACGTACACTGACACAGACCTACACTCACCCCCCCACCCCCTCCATACGCCTTCAAAGCTTATGTCTTCCATGTTGTGAGATGTGATGATTCATGTGCTGAGGTGTTTTTTCTGTTCTCAAACTGATCTCCCTATTGGAGCTCAGTCTGGGGGGAGTTCTTTTTTTCTCCTCATCTTTCCTCATGTTGTGCATTTTCCATTGTTGTCCGGTTCCGGGTCGCTGCTCGTGCGGCTGACCGGCCAGCTACCTAGCCTGACCTGTCTCCCCAATGTGATGTTTGTGTATTGTATGTACGGTCGGCAAGGTCAGTCTCTTAATTGCCCCTTGGGGATAAATAAAGTCTTCTGAATCCTGAATCATTGTTTTACCATTGTTGGAAATGAGTTATTATCCTTGTCATGTTGCCCTGTGAGGTCTGTGTTTTGTAATTGTTTTTACCAGTTTTAGAACTTAGTACTTGGAGCCCTGGCAAATAAGTGTATCAGTAAAGCACTGGTTCAACTTCTGTTGTTTGAAAAATGTGACATATAGATAAAAATGACTTTACTTGGCTTGACTATGCTCACATTTGTCCAAAGGACATTGTTCCAGAAGTTTTGCAGTTTGTTCATATGCAACTTTGCAAAGCTCTCTTTATAGAGAGAAGCTTTCTTCTGGCAACCCCTCCGAACAAGTGTAGTAATCGTGCTGTCATGAACTTTAATATTTCCCATATAAACTGGGGCTTTCAGAGTCTGAAAGATGTAGCACCTGAATAATCATCTTAGCTGTATTTTAGCAGATTTTATCACCGATTGCCAAAAAACACTTACAACAGAATAGTGGCAACCAGCTGACACTCCGGCAACATATCCGTTCCAGCAGTCTTGACAAACCAAAGAGAAGGAGAGCAGTTTGTTTCACTGAATCATCTCTCATGTCTCTTAATGTTTACTTTAAAACACTCTCTCCCGCCACATCTATTATTTCTGCTCTAATTGTATGCAACCTTGCCATTCCCCTCGAGCCAAAACTGCAGAGCTGCCAGTTCATCTTACATCTTTTTGACTTCACTTCACTCTGATCCTCACTCTGATCTTACACCACATATTTGTCTTTGATGTTAGACTGTGCCTTTCACTCGGAACTTAAGTCACTGGTCTCCATAAGTGGTGGGATGTTTTAATATCCTGATCACTAAAAACACAGTGTTTCTGTTTATGACTGGCACAGGGCCACAGAAGTGATATTCACAGCTTCTTTTGTTTCAAGACTTAGACAAGGCTTAAAATAAGACCAAACAGCGTCACAGTAAATAGATGAAGGAACTAAAATTACATTTTAAAAAAATCAAATGTTATCCAACTAAGAGCAAATCTGGGAATACTAAAAGAAAAAACACAGTACTAATGCAACGTGGCCTGGAACTAAATCCCAAAGTGACATATTTATATTGCTTGGTTTACTTGAAGTCTAATATCCAAAGATATTCAGTTGAGTTTCTTGTTTTATTTAAACAAAGAGTGCCCTTATGTCTTTTGATTTGAAAGATTCAGAGGTTGCTCTTCTGCTTTTGTAATAGTCATATCTTTGTCCATTTATTTATTTTTTATACTCTATGCTGTACAATCCTTCCATTTTCTTAACGGTTTATCCACTTCAGGGTTGGTTGGAGCCTATCCTAGTTTTCATGGGACCAAAGGGATGTTACACCCTGGACAGATCACCAGGTTCCTCACTGGACTAATGCAGATACATAGACAACCTTTCACACCTAGGGCCGTTTACGACGAGTTCATGTGCATGTTTTTGTACTGAGCACCTGGAGAGAACCCATGCAGTCACATGTAGATCGTGCATATGCCACTGGACAGCCAAACTGGGTGGTTATTTCAAACCCAGGGCATTTTTGCTGTGAGGCACAGTTGCCAAGGATCCCAGCATTATGCTGCCCCTGGTCGTTTGACCAGAACATTAATATGAAAGATAATGACTAGAGGAGGACTTTGTTCATAGTGAGTCTCTCAAATAGATAGCAATCAAGTCTTTCTAGATGCAAGTCTGTCTCCTCAGGAGTAATCTTAAAACCTCTCCTCTCAGTTATGTGGGGAGTTACTTGAAGCACTTTTTAAAACTAATCTCTAATAATCTAAATTTTAAGTGGTGAACAGGACATAAAAACTGCAAGTATAAAATTACCAGTTGACTCTGATAAAAACTTCTTAAAGCTAGTTGTTTTCTGAAGAAAACATCCAGATGTGCAAAAATGACATTGGTCATACAGCCTCTTATATCCTGATGATCAGAGATCAATCCTGCACTCATAGCTGTTGACCGAGTATGAAGCTGGAGCCAACAATCAGTTAGTCAGCAAGTTACTTGGTTACAATCTCTTATTATACTTCTTTTTTCCCCAGTCTTTAATTAAACCTTCAGCAACAAACCAGCAAATTACAACCAGAGAGATTTTGATTTTTATCTACAGACTTTCACACCAAGTTTCACACCTTAGCTCTTCATCAGCTCTGTTACCAGGACTACAATACAGATGTAACGCTGGCTCATCTCTGATAAAAAAAAAACAGTCCAGCAGTCAACAGAGGGATGTGTGTAAGTACAGAAGGGAGTCCCATTAGAGGAACCACGTCACATTAAAGCTACCCTCCAAATCTCCAAAGGAATCAATCTCCTAATGTCAATATTTGAATAATCAACCAGCACTTAAGGAACGAAAACATTATAATACTGTGGTTTTATTTCTGGTCATTCCTGATAATGACTTCAGAAGCTGTTTAGTGTTGTTTTGATGGTTTTGTGTGTATCTTTGTTTAGCTGCTTGTTGTTATAGCTACTGTGTTGTGCTAGTTTATAGTTGGAGAGTTAAAGGGGACCAAGTGTGTTCATTTTCACATTGAGTTCATTGTATTCTTGAACTCTACTGAAGTAGGGTTGCAGGAGTCATACTTTCATACATATTCATATCAATTAATTATTATTTATGTTATAGAGGAATTTGGTGCTGCCCCTCATCTTTGGGAAACAACTAATTTTTCACTTTTTAAAAAATGAGTTAAATGGTTATTTGCTAAAAAATGAAAGATATGACATCATTATTGATGTTGGCTGTAGTCTTTTATAGGTTGTTACATTAGTTTTAGATGCATCAGCAGAGGAATTACTGAGAGATACAGTGCCGAACACTATAACATTCTATGTTCAATGTTTAAAAACTAAACAGGAAAATATATTAAAAAGTCAGAAAATCAACATTTAAAATTTGATGCACATATTTCATAGTATCTAACCTGGTCTTCATGTCTGGCTGCTGACTGCTGCGATCCTCGTTGTGCTGAGGCGTAAACACACACACAGACAAAATATAGAAGTATTTAAATAGAATCTAAACCCGTCTTAGCTTCAACAATTTAGTCACAGCAGGAGATAAAACCTCATTAGGCCAAAACCCTGATCTCTAACAGGATAAAGGAAAAGCATTTACATAATAGGAAAGTTAAAAAGGTCAATACCTCATCAGGATGCTGAGACTTGTGGGATGCCAGCTTCAGCTCCTCACTAGGGAAAGAAAAGACAATTCACACATTTGAGGGCTGCACTAAAGGCAGTGTAGTCGGGTCCCAGTGATGTCTGTGTCACCAACACTGCTATATGCTTAAATCTGGTGATTCCCAGATATTCGCATCTGTTAACATCTCACCTATACAAACCCAAGTAAGCATATCCAATACACATCTGGCTAAATATTCTAATGCTTAATGACTTTGTACTGCTACAAGAATCATTACTGATATACACAACAAATATATTAGAGGCTATTTTTGTAAATGATGAAATGATGAATACATTTCAATTAGGGGTGCAACGATACTCGTATCGATATTGAACTGTTCGATACAGTGCTTTCGGTTCGGTACGCATATGTATCGAACAATACAAAATTTTTAATTTATTTTATCAACTTTTCTTCTGACGATGCTGTCTGTGTTGAGAGCTCAGTGGATCTGCGTTTGACTACTCCGCCTAGGCTGCACTGTCGAGTGCAGATCCACTAAGCGCAGCGCAAGCTAGCAAGACAGAAGCTAACATGGCAAATTGAACCTCTCCCACCCTCATTCAGATCTGGCCTTTGGAACTATTTTGGTCTTCATGTGAAGTATGACTCTGAAGGTAAGCGCGTCATGGACAAAAGTAAAACAGTATGTCGGATGTGCCACGCAATGCTCAATTACATGGGTGGGAACTACTGCGTTAGCGCAGTCAGCTCGTGAATGTGTTGACGCCGTCCAGCCCCACGCACGGGGCGATTCACGGTAGCTCGTTAACGGAGATTTGCCGTGTTGTGGCGTTAACGTCATTTCAGATTAACGCTGACAGCACTAGTGGGAACAAAATGAATATGACTGCACATTTACACCGACATCATCCTAGTGCAAAGACAAGTGGAAGCAGACAAAAACAACAAGCACGCATGCTACAAACTTTACCCGAGTCATTTAGACAGCCGTTAGCACATGATTCTCCTTATGGGGACCTGATATGTTTAATATGCTGCTGAGAATATAGCCCAGAAGAAGCGGATAGTATAGCTTTTATTTTGGAAAGAGCCATTTCTCTGTAATAAACTCTCTTTTCCAAAGATGAGTGATTTCTCGATCAGATAGATTAATTTTTTTTATTACTTTGTTGTTTCAGCAACATTAAATATAAAAACTGTACTTTTGAGTTAAAATATATATTTATAATTTTAATAAATGACAAATTAAAAAAGCATGAACATTTTTTGTATCGAAATATCGAACCGTGACACCAAAGTATCGAACCGAACCGTGAATTTTGTGTATCGTTGCACCCCTAATTTCAATGATGAAATGTTCATGTTGAGCAACCATTAGTTCCCTTCAACTCTCAAAAGACACAGATGTCCTTGCCAGCTGACACTCCCTAATCTAGACTATAATATGATCACACAACATCTGAAGTAAATAAAAGCACACAGGGGTTATTAGGCGACATTCATATTGCCCTTTGTTTTATAAGCTGTACATGTTCTCCCATTAAATCGCATCTCTCTACAGGAGATGCACTGACCAAGCAGCCAACCCAAATGGTGATTGAGAGCTACATATGGCATCAACCAGAGGCAACAGGCTTGATTCTGAGGCTAATGTACACTAAAGTGCAAAGCCACTGATGGATCTTACTGATGGATCTTGACCTGAAAATAATAAAGCCAATGTGAAATTGCTAAAAGCTGATTATATGCTAGCAGTCAAAAATCAACACCTTCCATCATAACAACTGTATGACTCACCAGTTTGGATTGTTAACAATTAACAACACAGACAGTTGTAGCTGATTACTATTTGAAATTTCCAGATACTGAGTGAGCCAAAATTTTGAGAAGATAACCCATTTTATTTAGAGAATAGTTTTCAACTTAGTCTAATTTGAATGTGGCTGACATTTACATTTGCACACATCTCTGTGTGGTAAACCATAGAAAAGTTCAGGGCTGGAGTTAATGTGTAGAAACAGCTACAAAGAGCTTAAGTATTACATCATATTCAGGCCATCTTCTTTTCTACAAACTTCAGTGCATTCTTTCATTGGTCGTGCTGAGAAACCAAAAAAGTATGTCCCTAAGAACACACTGGCCTCCACTACAGGAACTGCGGTTATGTGCAGTTTGTGTAAACACCTCACTAACTTCTTTCTTCTATTCTTTACTGATTACAAAAATCTCTACAGCAGTGTCCAGCTGTTATTCAGACATGTCTGAGCTAACTATGAAAACTCAACTTGCTCATGGACTCAGCTTTTCTACCCAGCTGTGATATTTGGGCAATTGTTATTTTCCTATTTCTGAATTAGAATTCTGAACTTTCAGTTCATGTCTATAACTGTCACTAAATAAGAGATATCAGTAAAAATGCTCAGTGGATCTTAAAAAAAAGTTAATCATTACTTCAAATGGATTGTTTCAAAACACGATGGATTTATATTTGGAAACCATTCTCAGACTTTAGAAAAGCTATTTCTACGTCTGTGATGTCTCAGCAGGGACGATCAGAGAGTGCTGTTTGCCCCTCCCACAAAAGCAGCACAGAAAATTTTCAGAAGCTCTTTCACGAACCTAGCTCTCTGGGCCTGGGTGAGGCTTTAACATATTAATGGTCATGAAGTTAGCAGTACAAATATAGGGAGGTAGAGGGCCACCACAGTTTAAGATGTTTTGATGTATGCTCAATCATCCAGGTAAGTAAATCCCAAAAGGTTGATTCTGTTCATCTAGATGTACGATTTTCAGTGAGAGAAACGTTTCGTCGCTCATCCAAGTGACTTCTTCGGTCTCCGAAATCTCTTTTGGGAGGCACAGTTCAAGATATTGACAGTATAAAGGATGAACCACCACAGTGACGTCATTTTCTAAAATGTACATAATCTATGTTAAGATATTCTCTGATATAAAGAGATCAGGCTACAACTAAAATGAACAACACTCTGTGCCAAGAGCAATGGCCACTGACCACTGAGCTGACTTCAGTGTAAACTGAATGTGAGATTGTCAGTGTACATTATATGCTGTATATACAGACAATTTTCATACAGCCATGATTGTGATGAAACTGATCTCTGACATTTATTAGTTTAGTAGTTTCTGAAAATATAACCAAAAAAGTCAAACATTTTGCACAACAATCCTAAATCTTAAAGTAGTGAAACGTGATGAGCTAATCTATATATTAGCTCTCATCACTTAGAAAGACACGTGTTGTTCTGTGTCTGCTGCCTACATTCACTCATGACACAGTCCTATTTTAAAGGAGTAGTTTATATACTGTAGTGCTTTACAACTAACCTACCTACACTACACTATTTGACTATATAAAAAAGACAGCAGCATAGACAGTGTTGTCAGGGAATTTATGAATCTGGATATTTTTGGATGCTGGAACTAAATGATTTGTTCAGGAAAATGAGTTTAGCCCCATGTGGGTCATTCTTAGGATTTGTGTCAAAGTTAAAACTCTGAAGCTATGTGTGACTAATAGCCCAATCACAGCACCATCTGGGTGAAATATTTAGCTGTCTGCAGTATAATTACATTCCCCATGCCTCTATAGCATCCTGCACTCTAACACAACAGTGCGCTCCACTGTGCAGTTCTTTTTGCATATTCTGTGTTCAGAGGACATCACAAACCTCTCGTCACAGTTCCAGTTGTGCTTTGTGTTAGGTACTAATTATTCATTTTAACATGCTAAAATAATTAAATGAGATGAGGAAAATGTCAACATTTCACCTGCTAAATATCAGCAGGTTAGCACTGTCACTGTATGTTGGTATGCTCACACTGGGATCTATCCTTAGCCACAGCTGCCCAACAAGGTGCAATGACTTGGATTTTACTTGCTACACAGTGAGACCTGGGTTGTACACTTACACGGGCAAAATTGTGGGCAAATGTAATCAGTTGAATAACAGCAAACTGTTTTTTTGTCATTGTTAACAATAGAATATCTATTCTAAATTATATTTCTAAATTCTAATTCTACAATACATTTTTTTAGATAGTTAAAATAGGGCATGATGTAAAATGAGTTTACCACTCCTGCTTTAGATAAAAGACGGACAGACCCTGCTTACAGATCTAAATATCTTTTGCTGCCTTCACACTGCAGGAAATCGATGATTATTTAAATGCATGATCACTTTAATTCATATTCCACATAAAGCACAATTTGATCTCAACTGGACTGGATCATTAAAACGGCTGCATACTTGCCTAAAACCTGAAAAAAATGCCCCCATAAGTGTATTCTTTCTCTTAGTGTAAAGACATACAGAAGTACACTCTAAAGACATACATATTCTCACATAATGAGCCATCTATTTACAAGAAAGAACAGCCTGAAAAATAAGTGACATGTGTCATGTAGTGTGTCTGCTGTCAAGAGTGTTATTTCAAACAAGACTATGACTGAATTCTTTCTTCGCAAAGCTAATTTTGATGCTGATTTCAGACAATCATCTCTCGCTTTCATGAATCCCACAGCTGTGACAAATATAAACATCATCTGAACAGTTTATTTATACTGCAAATCCAATTTTCTGCACTCTTCCATAACGCAGGTGGCCTACAGCTGAGTTCTCTACCTTAACACCCCTGTGTGACCGTTTTAACAGTAAAAGAAAAAGTGAAAGAAATGAAAGCATAAAAAAATATGTAAACCAAATGAAGTTAATGAACAATATTTTTGGCCTTCAAAGATAAAATTACAGCAGCACCAAAATATTACAATCATGACACGTATGTGAGCCAAAATGTTTACAGCTGTTCTTTCATAGCACAAAGCCACCTTGTTTCCGTACAAGCCTGAAAACCCTCTCTCTTGCTGTCTCTCTCTCTCTCTCTCTCTCTCTCTCACACACACACACACACACGCACACGCTGATGTCACAACAAGAGAAATAGCCATGTCGGAGCCAGGCGGTCCTAGGAGGAGAGGAGGGATTACATAACAGGAGCAGAGTGAGGAAGGACGTGCCTCAAAAAGGATGGCGGAAAACATTGTTGGGACAAGGCGGGGCGGAGGTGGAGGGAAAGAAAATGTAAAACAACAATATAAGACTGTAACATGAATCATCCATTTAGAGAGCTTTTATTTTCAATTATTTAGGCAAAGGCAGAAAAAAAAGACAAAATTGTGCTTGAGGAGACTGGAACCGTTACACTGTAACTGATGTCATTTGTTGACATTTTTCCTCTCCATTTGCTGCCTCTACATGCTACATATTGATGACTATAATCCAGCCAGTTAAATCCATGTGGAGCTCTGACATTGCAATTTAAGGGTTCTGATGACTCAAGGGGACATGTGGCAGGATGATGTAAAGGCTCCAAAAACACACGCATGGACACACTACATATTTACACATGTACACAGAGGTACTTGACAGCTTGAGAGAAACGCAAGCTCTATAAATAGAGCTCAGCGGCAGACTGGAACTTCACCAGAAACAAAAAAACAGGAAAGAAAAGAAGAAAAAATATGCCATAAGAAGAGAGAATACTTTTATCCTGAATCAAAAGCACCATGTTTCAGCTTACAACCAAAGATATACTGCTGAGTCAGTGCAAATGAAAGACTTTCCACATCTACATGTCAACACCGAACACATAGAAGGAATTAATAATGTAGATAACACGCTGTAAAAAAAAAAATGTCCAATTTTAATTCAGATAATGTTTTAAATGAACTTGAGCAGAGAAAAGTCAAGATATAAGGATCATGTGGCTAAGGTTCATGATTCACTATTTTCACACATACAGCTTCTCTACTATTTTTGGAAGAAGGGGTTGATTATTATTTCCATGTTCAATCAGTTCAATCCCAGGAGACGATGTAAATCCCATCAGAAAAGGCAGCTGTCATAAAACATCTGCCGGATCAAACATGTGGAGCTACCTGCTGTGAAGACCCGATGTAAATGAGCAAGCAGCCAAAAGTTGACATGTGAGATTACTGTGTCGACAAAACTGCAGATTCAATCAAGATATTTCAGGATCACATTTTGTGATATTTTTAAGTATAGTTAAGGCCTTAATTTTGCATAAATGGCTCTCAGACTTTTTAAGCATCTGTGAAGACACACTGTCAAAAACATTGTAAACATATACATCCAGAAATGTAAAAACCATAACGTGGATTGTACAGTTAAGGATCTCAAACCTGAATAATGAATGCACACTCAATCTAAATTTCCAGTCAGGTGTCATGATTCAGGAATGTTTAATAGGAGTACTACGCAAATGGGCTTTCTTTGCTGTGTTTCTAAACAGTATTGTACATTGTCCTCCACATCCATTATCACACAACAGCATGCTCTGACTAATTGTACTTTCCACAACAATTTAGAGCATATTTACAAGTGGAAGCATCTCTCTAGAGAGTTACACGTTGCCAATTCAACAGCACATTTGACATTTCAGCTATAAAAATAAAAGTATTTTTGACCCATTAAGGTAACAACTAACAACTGTCAAGCCACATTCTCACACAGTCCTTACTGAGCGGAATTAGAGCTTGAAAATGCAGACTGGATTTTTAATGAACATTTGGCCCCCAGGACAAATTTAGCAGCTCCAAACTAATGAACTGGCTGGCTGGGGGTCACCTTTACGGGAGGCAAGAGGCAGGAAAAAACACATTAGTTATCATGAGTACTCACATTTCTTTGCAGAGGACGCCAATACGCTGGTTTTCTGAGCTGCTCCGCTCTTTTGACAGACTGAGCTCTTCCTGATATTTGGAGTTCTGCTGTTTCAAAGCCTCAAGCTGAAGAGGAGCAAGATGGAAGAAAGGAAAGAGGGTGAGAAAGAGACAGGAACTACAGGTATACAAGATTACACCTAACCCTTATTATTATTTCTCTAGAGGAAACAAACAAATATTGCAATTGTGTGCTGGTCAGTGATTTTTGGATCCCATCTGGAGTATTTATGCTTATTTCATCTTGGCTGTAATTAAAGCTGCAATTACTCCAAGGAGTTTTTGTTCTAACAGTGATGCTCTGCAATTTTAAAGAGTTTGGTTTTGTTCTTCTACCTCATTACTTCAAGTGTGAAATGTCTCATTTCAGGCTTTTTATCACTAGTGAGGGATATGAGTGTTTGGCCTACCTGTGTAAATGCTATGCATAAATAGCTCAAACAAAGAAGTTACCTTAAACAGGAAAAGGAAAGTCAGAATTCAATACCAAGAGAATGAAGCAAGAAAAAAAACAAAAAAACCTTAATTTTGGATAATTAATTTTGGATTTCTTCATAACATTGCGTATGTAACAGTCAGTTAACAATATAAAACTCCACTTCTCATTCGTCCATATATCAACAGAAATCCCTGTCCTACTAAAGACATGGTTATGATCTTTCTTTCACAAAAAAATGAAAGCAAAGGTGAAAAACAGTCCATAAAGCACAGAAGCTGAGAGTAGTGACTGTCAATTTATCTGAATCCCCATCTAATCAATTATCAAGGTATTTACTGGCTGGGATAATCCCCAAAGCTGGGGTTAAGACAGTGATCACACACATGAGTGTCTATGGTTTGATTCTCTCCTTCTCTCCCTTATTTAAATTCCAGCAACATTTTTGAGCTCTACAAAACACACAGATATATTCAACATCTTGTTCCAAATGATCGTTGCATTCCTTGGTTTGCATTCAAGAAAACTGCAGTAAGAAAAAAAGAATATCTGGGTCACTAAGAGTGAGACCAGAGGTAATACCTAAAATACACCAGCAGACCAAAGAGGCAAGCAGACAGCAGCATGAGCTGGAACTAAAAATAAAAGCCCCAGAAAGATCTATTCCTTCAACTTCACTGCAAGCAAACTTTTTTGTTTCCCATTTGAGTCACATGGCAGAGATTCCAAACACATCTGAAATCACTCCTGAAGCTTCAAAGCGCTTCTCGGACACATACAGCGCTGTGATATCAGCTGCTTTAGAACAGCGCCAGTCAATAATTAATTAACGAGTATGACTTTGAAGTCTATGTTTTTGCTGAAACAAAAAAGAAAATAAATACATTATAAAAACCTCATGCTAGTCTTTTAGAGCATGTTTCCATTTGCACATTTACATATTGTGATATTAACTGCAGCTGAGTTTCAGAGTTTTTTAATTCTATTATAATAATGTCCAAATTGAATGCATAAACACATGAAGACACACAAACAAGCACAAAATACAGAATTATCCAATAGGTTACAGGTACAGGCAAGGATCATTCACCTGCTTACAATGACCAAGAGATACTACTGTATTAGAAAATGACTGCAGCACTGAAGGTTTTCCTCTCAGTTTGATGTGCTAAAAAATAAATAAATAAATAAATAAAAAAATCTAACGAATGATCCTACCTGGTAGTGAGGCGAATAGAGGTTGTTGGAGTAACCCTGATGCAGAGCAGCTATGTCCATACCTACACAGCTTACCACTGCTGGATTTCAGATGCGTTCCCTCGCTAAACGACAGCAGTGTTGTGACAATGCCTCCCCTCTCACTCTGTCAATAAAATGCATACACCAACACAAGCCGCTAGGCATCAATAAACCATCAGCTCTCATACCCTGCTGTGCACGACTGAGAGAGAGAAATGGAGAGAGTGTCGCCTGTACAACTCTCTCTCACACACAGAGTCAGGTTAGGTTAGCACTTCCATTATGTAAGCCTAAATAAGCTCCTCCTCAGACTCCCCCCCCACCTTTCTGCAGCTCACAATCTGGTTTGTGCACACCACATGCACACACACTCATGAGAATTTTGACCATTCATTCATTGGTGAATTTCAGCATCTCAGATTGAACCCTCAGTTGGAGACTGCAACAACATGTAATGTACATTCTACCAGACATGCCTTCATACTTTAGGCTCCTGCACTCGTTTAGTGATGTGTTATAGCATGGATACTCTGGAAATCTAACTAGGGCTGCAGCTAATCATTATCCACATGACCAGTTAATGTCTATACAGCAATGCCTGATTCTAGATCAATCAGTCCATAGTTTTAGTTGTCAGCTTTAGGAACCAGCTAATAGAAAAGAAATGCATCTACATGTAGAATTATTTTTATTATTAGAAATACTTCTGTTAGGTTATTACACGTTACAGTTTAAATGGTAAAACAGTTTATTTGAAATGAAGATGTTCTTTCCATGTACTAAGTTAGGAAATTACTGCACTTTACTTAAATGTGGTGTATTTGTCTTTATGGCCGGACCTAAATATTACCCACATAGCAAAACTGGTATGGCCCGGATCTGGCCCACACAATGTGCTTATACATTGCCCACATACCACAAAAAATGACGGCCCTTTGGTGGTCCACATCTGGTTTGCCAGATGTGGCCCATACATGGTCCAGCACAAGGCCAGTTGCAGACACACTGCTGGTCCTGTGCTGGCCCAGAACAGTTTCAGCTCTGGCCCCAGATGTCAGCCTAATGTGTACCTCAATCAAGCCATGTAATAACAACAATGTGCCGGAACATAATAGCACAAAAGTAACATGATGAAACTCTGTTCAGACAGTGAATGGACTGATTCTTATGTAGCGCTTTTCTACTCTCCCGGATTACTCCAGGTGCTCTATACAACATGCCACATTCACCCAATCACACACTTTCTCTAAACCGAGTGCTTCCTAACTACATTCATACACATTCACACTCTTTACATGCAGACTGGAGGAACCAGGGATCGAACCACTAGCATTCCGATCAGTAGGTGACCTGCTCTACCTCCTGAGCTACAGCCACCCAGTGGTAAACATGAGTAAACCCTCACTAGGTTTTGGATAAAGTGTACACTCACAAACCTGTCAAACCAGCATTTGAAACACTGGCTACCATAGCAGTATAGTATTGCAACGTGGCATTTGGGTCTTCTAACTAAAACAGGAAAACAGGAACATAAATAGTGCCATCATTGCCAGACCTGGCCCACATCTGGTTGACCTACACCCTACCATGACACCAGTTAGTCAGAAGTGCCAATTGATGCTGTATCCAGGGAAGACCTGTTTTCTATGAGCCTGGGCCACATAAACCACACCACAATCGGGCCAGATATGGCATGCCATTACATAAACAGTGCCATCTATGCCAGACCTGTCTGCTATGTGGGTATTTGTCTATAATGGCACACGGCAAAAATATCAGAATTATTGTTTCATGTCGTCTATAATGTGCCAGTATGAATCTATATTTTACAGGACACAATGCAGACAGAGAGGCCAGGGTAATTTAGAAATGAAGTCATGCTGTTTAAAAGGCAGATCTGCTCCAACCCTGTTATTTACAGTACTCTTTAGTCTTTACGGGACCGTGTGCCACACCATTTTCCTTTCAAATGTAACAATGTATGCTAGAGGTGGGAATCACTATACAACTCACGATACGATATTATCACAATACTTAACACACGATACGATATTATTGCAATTTTTTAAAATATTTTGCGATATTCAAATTCTGTACATAAAGGTGAACTTTATCAATATTCATTTTATCTAATATCAAAGTCTCACACTCAGTCTTTCTCTCATTTCAGTCAGTTTTATTGTTGACAAACTGAACGGTTTGTATTACAGTCTAGTCCAACTTAACTGAATGCAACCATCTGGTACAATTATAGCTATTCTGAACTATGCAATTTATGAAAACTATGCAGCCCATTCAGCAACTGAAGACTTTGAAAGTAAATTAAAACAAAATATAATTTTACATTAAATAAAAAAAGTTTTAAACTTAATTAAAATAAAACATGTCTTAAATTAAAATAAGTAAACTGTCATGTTTATTGCTGCCAAAAAAAAAGTTAAACACATTTGGACAGTGAAGGAATGTCAGGATTCTTGCTCAGAAAAAGGAGCTGATCAACATGCTCTGAAGTCAGAGCAAATTGTTTGTAACAAAATATCGATTTCTGCTGTCCCTGTATCGATACATTATTAGCAAACAAAATATCACGATACTACACAGTATCGATTTTTTCCCCCCACCCCTAATGTATGCTATGTACAGTCATGTGGAAAAGAAAGTATGCCCTATTTCAAGTTTTTCAGGTTATAATAAAAACAGCATCTGCTCCTTAGAAGGTCTTAAAACAAAGCTGAAGTAGATCCTTACTGTTTCCATAGGAATTAAAAGGGTAAGTAACAATCGGGTGCTGTTAATCAAATAAACTAACTGATCATCAGCAAGAGCGGGATGAGTATGAGCTTTGGTAGTTTGCTGGACTGAAGCACTTAGTCCATGTGTTAACACAATGCCAAGAAGGAAAGACATCACCGTGATATTGATCTTTCTAAGAGTGGACATCCTAAAAAAATTTATTCAAAGGTCAGACTGTAATATTCAGAGAAACTGCAACATCTCAGACTCTACAGGTCTCATAAAGCATGTTAAATGTTAAAACTGATAACAAAAGGTTAGTATGTCTTTTTCCCCCAAAGTGTTCCCAGGAAAAAGGCTCTTCTCTCACACATGACAGCACAGATTAGGTTTTCAAAGCTGCAACTGAACAAACCCCAAGACGTCTGCAACACAGACAAGTCTAAAATGAAGATGCCCATGAAGTTGGTCATACTGCACAGTAACATACTCAGTGAAGACCAAACACAGCATATCAGCACAAACGCAAAAACAGGTAATGCTACTCTTTCAGAATATTTGGGACTCTTTCATAAGTAATCTAAAGTGATAAGACCTCTGTGTTGTGTTCCTGAGGATCTGTCTATAAAAAGCCTCTTGTGATTTTAATTTGGTGCTTTTAAATTTTTTAGGCAGCTGAACGAAAAATAACATGCTTAATTAGAGAACTGCACATTAAGATGATCTGCAAGTCAGCCCCTTTTTTCTTTTTCCTTACTTTTCATCTCTGTATACATATTAGAATGCTCAGAGTAGGAATTAATTCAATGAAGATATTAATGAAAAAAAAACTATAATAACTTGGACACAACACAAAACACAAAAGAGACTGATCTCAAGTCAGTTGTTTATACTGATGCATACTGATGTAATGTTGCCATCACACACACACACACACACACGCTCACACAGCAGCTCACTCTGACATGTGCAGTGTTACATCACTACCTACAGCATCATGGGTGAGTGGAGAAGGGAGCTAGACGTAAGAGCATCTCTGCTGAATAATTGCTTGATCACGTGAGTGTTAGTTTTAGTGCACAAAGTCAGATTTCTCCCTCCTGCAGCTACCAAAAAATTTGGAATTAAAATATACACACGTGAATTTGATACATGCTACTATTCAGCAGTGCTGGCAAACAGAAAGAAAGCATCCAAAATGTAACATTTATACTGAATTAAAACGTCATCGATGAAAGCTTAAATAATTTACACAAAGAGGAGTTGAACTGTGCAGGAGGTGCTTATTTTGAGTGCTCACAGTTCTAATTATGTAACTTCAAAATGACTAACATTTACTACATAAATAACCAACAAGGTAAAATTCTATTTTAACCTTTAGAATGACTAACAAAAAATATTTTACGAAAACTGCATAAAATATTATGTACAACATATTAAAATAGAAAATATTACGTAGTTAAATCTATGTAGAAATTTAATTTGTACATTTATTAAAGTATTAGGGATCCTTCGTCCTTTTAGAGACAACTGACACCAAATGGACTTAAGCTAAAAAATATGTATCCATTTCCAAAGCTCACCATGTCTCAATGGTAGAATAACACACTGAATTGTCAATTTAAACTTGCTAATGAATGATTAGCAGAAACATTGTAGTTTTATGTTTAAGTCTTAGTTTTAGCTTTTCAATTATTATAATGTGGGTGGTATTTTTGCAAGACTTATTATAGGTATTATAATACAAACATAAAACTTCATGTAGTGCCGATATTTCAGTCACAATAATTATCTGCAGCAACCTGCTATCTTCACATTTAAGCACACTGACAAAGAAATTTCATAAGCACACGATATTTCGGTTATTTTTTGTCTTTTTCAATTGCCAGTTTTTTATTTTTATTTTAGTTAAAGTGTTTTTTCATATCTAGTGTTGCTGTTTAGCTTAGCTTTAGTTAAATATAGCTAAGTGGAGAGCAAACATGCTACCTCTCCTGGACCATGAAGCCCTCTTTAGAGAATCAGAGAGAAAGTGAGAGCAGACATCCGATAGAGAAAGAGTGGGAGAGAGGACAGAAAAAAATGGAGATTAGGCAGGGGTCATAGATGACTTAAATCATGCCAAGCTGGTGTTATATTATATACTCAGTTTAAGTTGACTCAAGTATATAAACTTGCCACTGGAGTAACAGGGGTTTAGAAACAAGCCATAACTTGCTTGTCATCAGTATGCACATACAACTTTGATTATATATGTAATCATGTTCTTATAATGTTAATTTAAGTGTCTCTTTTTCTGCTTACACCAATAGGATGGTATTTTAATTATCCATGAATTCATCAAGTAACAAACGGTATAGAAAGGAAGCTGTGTTCAAATTCCTTCAGTACTTCTCTGTAAAACAGTGGGAGAGTACAGCTGCAGTGCTGATCAAAGTGTGTAGGAAAAATGCTGGGCCAATAAATTATATAGTTTATGTCAAACATAAAGCATGTTTATGTTCATTTTTCATTTCCTACTCTAATCTCCTGTGCATTTCTTTTGTAGTGAGGAGATTCGCCATCTGGAGCCCACAGGCAAGCTGACAAATAGCAAAGATGAACATGCATTATTTGAGCAAGAGCCATGCAGTGAATGATCCTCTGCGTGTGGAGTGCAAACGGAGGAGAGCTGCTGAGTATAAAATAACAAAAATATAAAGTTACAGCTGAAAGTGCAAGTCGCAAACACAGGAAAGCATAGAAGGAGGAAATACAACAAGAGGGATGGACTGTAGTATTTCATGGGTGGCTGATTAAATACGATGACTGGCCCAATCACATGCGGTCGGTGTGGGAATGTTGATGTGAATATGTAACAAAAACCCTGCAGGCTACAGAAGCTGAACTGATGTGCATGTGCAAGTTCTTTCACGGGGTTGTGGCGACATGAAGTAGAACACAAGCATGTGACACTGAAACTGTACAATACCAACAGCAAAGGGTCAGAGATAGATTAAAGAGTGTTTGCTGCTCTAATGCATAATTCAATAATTAAAGGAATTCCTGTTTACAACTAACACATCCACTGTGTCATAGTTGATAGTTTTTGCTATTTTAATTTCATGCAACAAACAGCAGCCACAAAGAACCAATGCTTAGATGCTGGTGTAGCTCTGACTGTTCATTACTGGTTATAAATGCCATCCACCTGCCAGAGACTACAGATTAAAATTAATTAAATCCTTAGATTCATGAAGAATTACTGGTATTTCATTTCAATTTGGACATATAATTAATTATTATGAAAACTAAAATAAAGGGTAAATAATTTTTTAAAAAGTGTAAATAATAATAATAATAATAATAATAAAAAAATTAGATCCAGAGGGCACACTGTTTAACACAGTTTTGCTCATGTTTACATGAACTACTCCTATGTTACAAAGTTGGGGTTGGTGAGGCTTCTCCCACTTTTTAAGTGAGAAGCACAATTCAAGGGGGCATTCCAGTTGATTTAAACTAAAAGGTAGGATTTCTGACTTCCCACTTCAAATGGAACGCAGCACAAGATATAGTTAAGCAGCTCTGATCTGCCCTACAAAAGGCTTATGCTCAAGCAATTGCAGTTGCTGGAGCATATTGTTTCAACAGCCAAACGGTGTTAGTCTTCATTCCAAAAGTCTATTAATAGAGGAATTCGTTAAATGTTGAAGAGGAAACACATTACTTTAAAATATATTTGGCAATGCTTTTACAAGCTATTTTGGGAAACGTTGTTGTCGCCTCGATCTTGTCAGCATCAAGCCTATATGCAACATTTTTGCATTTTCATAAAAAATAAAAAAATAACATAAAGACAGCTATAGAAAATATTTTCAACTGATTGATTAGCTGCAGCCAAGAACATCTGTTAGAGACAGTCATCATGTCGGGTGACACAATCAATGGCTCAAAATAAGAAACTGCTTTGGTTTGAAACAGCTTGAACGTATTGGAATTTCTATGGTAATTTTGCCTCCATTCTGTAAACTCTGATCAGTGCACACAAAGTAGAATAGCAAGTGCAGTAACTATCAGGGAGGCAGGGCTCAGCTAACAGCTAACACTGGTGAAAGAGAAGACAACAAGAACAAGGGATAGAATAGAACTTGTAAAACCACTGTGTTGACCTCGGTCACAGCAGTGTGTATCCACAGTATCCACAGGTGATAAACATCATCCCACATATGTCCAATGAAAGCCCTCTGCTCACCTGTGTCTCCAGTGTCCTATTGTCAAGGGTCAACTGCTCCAGCGAAAAGGCCAACCTCTCTGACTTTTCAGTGGCCTGGAAAATATAATGCAGCCAGTATGAGATGTATGTTATAGTACAAAAAGAAATGCACATGTTTAACAACAAGCCTATTTTCCCTCTGGATATATAAAAACGTTCACATACAAATTTTTTCATTAATTATTCACTAAATGACACTTTGGGTTAAAAAAGCTACCAGATAGAGTGCACGTCACACTCTGTGGTAGATTTAGTCACTGTAGAGTTAATGCATACACCTTCCCTGAGTCTTGTTTCTGTTTTGGATAACTAAACAAACCACTTTAAAAAAAACTAAGTACAGAGTCAAACAGAGTCATATTAGCACTCAAAAACAGTACTCTATTAATAGAACAGAGCGATTAGAACTCATTAAGGATGTTGGCTAAAAAAGGAAAGTCAGCCTCAAGATTCTCCTGCTGTTTCACCCTTACATTAATCTCTAATGGGTTTCTTGAAGCATGAACAGAAGTATGAAAGCTGTGGCTTTAGGCAAAAAAGAACTGCAAACTGTCCGGTCTACTTTCAGAAACAAAAGCAGTAGAAAAAAAGACTACATGCATTCAGCAGATATTCATTAGCAGGAAAAACAGTCTAGTTTTTCAATTTTTCATTGCTGCATTTATACATTTTCTCCCACCATGTTTGATGTGTAAAAAAAAAAAAAATCTAAAAAAAAGACCACTGGGAATGTAAAAGTAGTAAAGGAACAAAAGTCTTCTATAGGAATTGTTGTAGCACTGTTTCATAATCTGGAGCAGGCGCCACGTTGCGGAAGCCGCCATGTTGCCCCACCATCTTGAATATTGTTGCCTACATGGGCGTTGTTATTCCACCTAATTGCGTTTTATACAGTATATGTGGCTAGAGATCGGCCACATGCGTAGTGTGCCTTAATTTAACAATAACAGATAGCTCTTTAAAACCATCTCTCTAAAAAAAGCAGCAACTGTAATTCCTCTCAAAATGTATGGAAATAATACTGTGAATAGTCAACGGTAACTTTATTGTCCCCAAACACAACAAACACACCAGACACACACACACACACACAAAAAAAATTCATGGCAATAAAATTATAAGAAATTACAAGATGTACAATTTCACTCATAAATTCAATTAAAATGCCCAAATTACCAAGATAATCAGTCCCAATAAATTGTTAAATGAACCGTTTTACTTATCAGTAATTTGTATCAAATTAGGGTTAATATCTTGCCAACTTTTCTTTCTAGAGAATTACTATGAAATTACTCTAAATATTTCTTTTTTTTTGTACGGTGTTAGGACAAATGTTTGGATTGTGGGTATGGCCTTTTACAGTCAAATGAACAGATGTAAATGTAAATGTAATACAGTAAAAAATAAATAAATAAAATAAAATATTAATGAAAATCAAAAGTGAGTAACGTCAAACTGAACCTCTTGAATAAGTGTATTTTGTACATGTGCACACCTACCTGTGTCAGCTGGGCTCTCAGCTCTTTCTCCCTGGAATGATTCTCCTCCTTCAGGGTCTGGTAGTCTTTCGTTGAACGCTCCACAATCTGCTCCAATCCTAACAGAAAAGAGATAGCAGCTTTAACAAATCACTCACTGAAATGAGAATAAAGGTAGGAGATATACAGCAGATATGTTTACCTTGCATTGTCTTTGCTGCTTTCCTGTTCTCCTCCTCAGCTGTCTCAAGTTTTTCTCTCTGAAACGGAGAGGCATCAGCTTGACCACGAGCTAATCACTCAAACAGCAGCATTCTTGAACCTTGAGCTAACCAGGGAATAATGACTGGCTCCAGAAAGCATACAAGGTTGTTGGATGAAATTCTGCTCTCAACGATCCTCACAAACAAAAACACAGAGTGATTAAATAAGACGAAGCTACAGCTCCACGAACCACCCGCACAGACATTGCACTTCATTTGGAAGATGTGCTGAAGAGTTTAAGCACAACTCATGTTCTTGCTTTTCTGTCAGTGATAATAGCAAAACGACTGACTCTGTAACATTATTGTGACAATTCAGACCAAAACATTACTATAATAATTTTAACTTTTATTTTTGTGATTGATTCATGTTTCTTGATTTTTGGCACAATTGCCAAAATATCCACTTGCATATTTACTTAGAGTTAATTCTCAAAGTAAATAGCCCTGTACATCAATACAGCAACAGTTACTGAGGATTTCTTTCTTTTATTATACAGCACAATTATTTCCATGTGTTCCTCATGCTTGCTCCATATGGAACATATTAATTTTCTTGTCTTTGAATCTTTAGAGATGTTTCCCAATAGGTCTGGCATTTTCATTTATTATATATGCACTCTTGTGAGCGATGACAATATAATATTCACTTACTAAACAGTCACAATCTATTCATCCTGTGTACCAGCTAAATGATCACCCTTTTAAATGTCTACACCAAAACTTCCTCCAGCTATTTTGATGAGACAGGCCTTATGTCAAAGTAGTAATTGCTGTTCAAAGTTAAAAGATCAAATTTAGGAGTTAAATGTGCTCTATATCCTGACACCACCATTTTCTATTTAAATGCCGTTGAATTGAATGGGGTTAACAGGATGAGAAAAGCTGTATCGCTTGTTTGTTTTAGCCAAACATCTGTGGTCTTTTTATAGATGCCTCATCACTCCAGCCACTCACGCACACACTCAGACCTTTTGCACTGCTTCCAAGCACTTTCTTCTCCAATGTCTGCCTCTCTAGTGTTTTGTACACATTCCTCTTGTATAGTGTATATATTGTATTGTATATAATTCTCCTGTCTGTTATTTATTCCTGCATTCCTGTACAGTTGGCGTGGAGCACCCATAATTTCATTGTACATGTGCAATGACAATAAAGGGCTGTTCTATTCTATTCTTTTCTATCCTATTCTATTGTCAGTAGGCAAACTGAGTAAGCTGTCAGTAAGTAGTGTTTGTTGAGTTCATACAGTAAGCCAAAGGTAACTGAAGAAGTAGTTTTTTAACAATGAACAACTGAAAGCAGTTCATTTCTCAGAAGATTTAATAAACAGTTTCTTTTAAAAAAATCTCACTCATTTTGTGTACTTCTTATTTGTTTCTGACTTGCAATGCATTATGACAGCTATTTTATTGGCAATAATGCTCTCTGATTTTTTTCATTTTTGTTTAAGTTCTATGGTTTCTACTTTAAAATTATTTCCTTTTGTTTTAGTTTTATTCATTTTAAGTTTCTTAAATTATTATAATATGTGAGGTATGTGTCAGAATAGAAGAATATAAGTGCTATTACAATAAAAACGCAACACTCTGCTTTTATGTAAGCCAACCTGTACATTTTAAATAATTTTCTATTAATGTTTTTAGGCCTTTTATATTTTTATACTTGCTTGAAAAGTTCACAATAAGTTAGATATTAATAATTGAGACCAATGTAAAAAATAATGTAAATGTGAGTTATCATAACAAAGAGCTATGTTCGTCTACGTTCTCTTAGATGTATCACTTTAAAAGCCATTATTATTGACAGACAGGTAAAGTATACAAGTTCAAAGATGGGCTACAGTACATTGTCATTTCTCTGCACATGTGTATTGTATTTATTTATGTCCAGAGTCTCTTTCCTTCTTACCAGACTGGTTAGCTGTTGTTCCAAAGACGTCTTATCTTGCTGTACCGACTGAAGCTCTTTCTGCTTGCTCTCCAGGTCAACACTCAGCTCACTGATCTGTTCGAAGCACACAGTATAAACCATAAAACATGCACATGTATATCTGTACAGAGCCATAAATTATGCATCATCACAGTAACTTCAACAGACCACACAGAGTATCACATTTTACTAGATGGTGGGTTGAATGAAGAGTGTTATACCAGTTCTTCTGATTTTACAATCATGTAACAATTTCAATAATAATGATAAATGATGACTAACACATTCAACAAGCAATTATGTTTCTTATAAAGTTGTGGCACAGGAATCGCTGAACAAAACACCATAGTCAAGAATTCTCTGGTGCTTTCTACAAACCTTCTTCTCCTGAGACTGAACCTGTGCCTTGAGGCTGCTGATTTGTTGCTGTGACAGAGACACAGCATCCTCCTTCTGCTGGGACGCCCGGAGCCTGAGCTGGAGATCTGCCACCTCCCTCTCTAGCTCCATTATCCTGGAGCGCTCAGACACTGTGGCCACCTACAGCAGAAAGCAGAGTCATGAGGAGGTTATGGGGCAAAGAGGAGACAGGGGGCATGAGAGAGGAGATTAGTAGTGCCTGCTCATGTGTAATCATTTGCTTGGTTTGTCCAAAATGCAAAGACATTTACTTTACAGTCACATAAGTAAGGGAAACACATTAATTTAATTATTAATTTATAGCCTCATTTTCCTTTTTCATACTTACCTAATTAATTAGGGAGCCTACGGTTACTTAGCCTACTTGGGTCAGAAATCAATTAGACAGAATCTGTAAGATATGTCACCATGACATGACATGAACCTAAAACAAGCAGCTAGCTTAGCTTAGCATAAAGACTGAAAAAAGTGATGGAGCAGCCACAGTCAAACAGCTAAAAGCTGCTGTTTATGACGATTTCTGCAACTTTATCATCTTGTTAAATACGGTGTCGAAATGTATGAAATCTTCATATTCAAGATATGGCGCTTTAAAGGGAACCGCTGAATTTTCTTCCTGTTATAGACACCACAGAATGGTTATTACAGCTATTGCAATTTACCCCTGTTTGGCAAATGTATTTATTTTCATGACTGAATAAATGTTAAGTATATTATGGACGTTATCTTGGGGATAATAGAAAATATAGTCATGCTGAACATCAAATGGGTTATTTTATTGGCCTTAAGAAGTAAAGGTTTACTGAATATCAGTTTATTTGTACTTTTAAAAGAATGTATTTTTAAATATGACATATAATTGAGGAAAACATATCACAATGTTTCTCCCTTACATTAATGTGTTAGACATAAGCCCTATAATGAATGACATTTACTGTTATGAACACTACAGCCTGTAACAATCTGCACTTTTGCTATTTAATTGTGGCTGAACCAAGTAGGTATTAAATAGCCTGTTGCGGTACAAAGAAATACCAAAATGCACCAAGGAGTAGAAATGAATACATATTCAGTTATTTGAATCTTTGTGTCATCTGACAGCTTACATTCTTTATGTTAAGCTAAACTAAGTAGCCTCTGTACATTTCATTATACAGTACAGGTACAAAAATCTTGAGCCAACCCTCATTTCCAAACCTTCCAAAGCTTAGATTTTAGCTTAGATCTTTTTAAGGTGGTCTTAAGCAATATTTCTCCAGGATTCTGGAGGTCTTTCAAAGTTCTTCTTTGAACTCTGCCTACTTTTGCCCACATTTTCAGTCAACTCTTTGTACCTCACCATTTTCAAAGGAAATCCCAAGCAATCTTTCACAAAAACACAGTTTATTCAATTTCTTTACCTGAACCCATAAAAACTGCCAACAATAACAGTTTGATAGGCATAAAATTGTATTACTGAAACAACGTGATTCCCAAAAAGCTATTAGTTTAAACCTTAGCATATGACATATATTTATATCTTGGCATATGGATATGTACATAGTCTCGTTAAAAAAAATGTTCTGGGGAAAATGGACACGTAAAGAAGAAAGGACGAAGTGGCAGCCCCAAAAACTACAGTAGAAGTAACGCATCTGAATGTCATGTCAATAAGAAGCAGGAAAAAAATCCAGCAAAGACTTAAAATAGGACCTGAGAGATGCATATGCCCCTTCAGTTGATTCATCTACTGTTCACTAAATCCTCATCAGAAATGGTCTCAATGGAAGGGTGACTGTCAAGAAGCCATTCTTAAAGAAGGAAAAGGTTTAAGTATGGTAAATTACACAATAACTGGACTTCTGGATGGTGATCAATCCAAATTTTAAAACCTTGATATTACATACAGAAGAGGTCAGGAGAAAGCAATGCTCACTGTTGTACCTATCTGTAAAACATGGTGGAGGTTCTGTCACGGTGTGGGGTGCATTTCAGCCAGTGATGTTGGAGATCTTGTCAAAGTTAATGTAATTATAAATAGATTTTGATCCACCACATAATACTACTTTGAAACCATCTGATTGGCAATGCAACATTTTTCAGCATGGCAAACACACTGTCAATGCAATACACACACACACTGGAACACTATGAGTCCCGGCTTGGCCTCCCCATAGCTCAGAACTCAACATTACAATATTGAAGCAGTGTGATCATCTTAAAATGTAAAAAAAATTTTTTTTTTTAGAGCTTTAGAATGTCCCTCAGGAAGCCTAGAGAAATATTCCTGAAGACTTCAGTTCAGGTTGTGTTGAAGAATAAAGGTGGTCATACCAAATATTGGCTTTAAAGCTTGTAAGAATGCTCTAAACTCTGTTTTTGCCTTATATACTGGATTTGCATGTGTGTTTGCACTTGTTTTAATAATAAAGAGATGAGGGATGGCTTAAGACCTTTGCACAGAGAGAGAGATTACATCAAGAACTTGGGCTATACAACTGGCTAAAACAAACCAAACATTCATTCATAAGAAAAAAATCCACTCCCACTGGACAGAGAGGTGGCAGATCTGCAGCAAAGTTCCAACAACCAGCAGAAGACCTGGTCCAAATGGGAATTTATTGCTTTACTACAGAAGCATTTGACTCATCAAAAATATGTCAAAGCTTCAGGTTAAAAGACATAGGATGGGAGTCTTCTACATTTATCTTAAGGTCAGCAAGTCCCATGAAAAGGTCAGGTAGTGAAAGGCTCAAACACATACTATTTGTTTGCTCTCCAGGGCTCTGATGGTTTCAGACATCAGATATCTGAAATATGATCATCTCAGGGCCTTCAGGTACAGACCCCCAGTCTAAAACAGAAGGTTTGTGAGGAGCACAAAAGCTGGGTTTAAAGAGAAGGACACCAAAACAGTTGTTAACATTGTTTCAAACAGTGACCAGTTGCAACAGGACCCAGCATAAAATAAATATGAATTATTTTCAACTTTGAATCATGCAAAACTACTCTAGTAGAGTCCCGGAATAATTACATGACATTGACAATAAGCATAATAGGTATACTTTCATCTGTCAGCTCCCTACATTGATAATGTTTGTTTACACCTCCTGCATACTCTATCACATAGTCCAAACATAACAGTGCATGTCATAAGAGCACATCTGAAGTGGACTATCTCCTGTTGTGTGCTACATATGGGAAAGGACAACATCACCGATTTAATGAGCTAACTGTCCTGAAGTTGTTGCGAAATCGCGCCCACACACCTTTATTTACAGAATAAAAATGATAGGGCACGGAACTGGTTTCAATATTCGGAATTAAAATGTATATGAAGCAAAGCAACATATTGTTGACATCTCTACATTGTTAGTTTGTAAAGTTTGTAAAGAAAAAATATGATTAAAGGCAAATCTGTGCAAACAACAAGACTGATCCTTTGTTTCTTTGATGCTATGCATCAGTGAGTTATTGTGAAGGATGACATCTACAGGAGTAATAATGTTACTGGTAAAGACAAGGCAGTATTCTCAAACAGACTGCATTTTACACCACTTTTATAGCTACCAAGCACTCACACAGCTGTGACACACTGTTTTGTGACTCAGTACTTTGCTCAAGGACACTCCGAGATATAGAGTGGAGGATGTTGATGGCTTATTTTCTGAGACAAAATCATGCAAAAATGCTTGATTTTGCTCTTTTCATGGGATTTGTTGATAGGAGTAAAATGTTGAAGGATTCCACCCTTATTCTTTAAAGCCAACTAAGTCTAAAGAACCATAATCTCCAAAAAATATCCTTTAATAAAGCTTTATGCACATATGTATATTGTTTAGTATAAACAATAAACATGGGTTATCTGGAAAGCTCAAAGCAGATGAAATGTTAATGTCCCTATTGCAGGGCTGTGGACAATTTGCATGGTGTTTGCATGCTGCAGTTCCTTCAGTATATGCCAGTTGTGATTATTAAGTCTAGCGGGGGGAAAAGGCTGTGGCACTACAACTGCCAGAATTACCCTAGTGTCCTCTAAATCCCTCTGGAGTTTTTCAGCTTTGGTCTTTTCAAAGAGCAGGCTCTGCTCAAGCTCCTTTATGTGGACATGCTCCAGCCTGGTCTGCGTCTGTTAGTAAAAGAGAGCAGGAAGAGAGGAAAAACAAACACCATTGCGAACACTGAGCTGCCAGCTTTGTGCCACAGACAGAAAGAAGGCAAGACTTTAAAGAGAAGACCAGGAAGTACAAAAGCACTGATGGTTTGCAGCATTTCAGCTTTTTTGTTTGGAGTATCCAGAGTTAGTTACTGTGATCATCTCTTTCTTTCAGATACTTTTGTTTCCATTTCATGAAGCAATTGAACAAGACTAATCCAGGAGTGAGAAAGATGCAGAAAAGACATGCACGAAGAAGGCATAAAAAAAAGTGAAGACAAAAGCGGCATTCAAACACAGACATGTGGACAAACAGATGATGAGAGTAATGGTAATTTAAGTGCTGCAGATGGGTAGAAAAATCTGAGATGAATAAATGAAAAGAGCAGGAATAGAACACAAGTCTGAACAAAAAAAAGTAAATGATTGATAGAGTGCAGGAAAGGCAAAAACATTATGCAGCAAGTCTGATTTAATCAACTTCTCATTTTTTGGAAGAAAATGATCATCAGCTTTATGGTGTCATCCTAAGTTGTGAATTAAAAAGAGTCAGGAATCACAGTGAAAATCAAACTAACATGTCACTCAGTGGAACGCCGAGTTGACAGTGATGATAAACTATTCATCTTGGTTGGAGTCAATAAATCATACCAGACTTCCATTAAAGAAGTATCAGCCTGATCAGTGAGAGGCAGACAGCTCGGGTGGATAGGACAAGTGAGAGAACATGTTTAATTGAGAATCGGATTATGTAACCACATTTACCTCGAGGTCTCCCTTGGTGATGCATTCCTCTTCTACTCGAAACTGTAGGTCCTCCACTTTCCTGTCAAACAGGGACAATAATAAAATCTTCTAAAATCACAACACACAAGTGGCTCAGTCATTAAAACCCTACAGATTTACTGAAGAGCTGGAACAAGCTGATACTGCCAGTCATTCTGGCAGCCTTCTTATTTCAAAGAGAGAACCTTCTCTGTGAAAACAGGATGCTGCTCTTTTTCTCCCTCTTGTATTAAATGAGGCATTTCCAAAGTATGCATTTCAGGTCAGACAGTATCGTTGTCATGTGGATGACAATCAGAATGATCTACCTGCTACAACTGACAGTGCTCATCCGGAAAAAAACTGACTATTTAGAAGACTGCAAATCCTAAATGGCAAAAAATTTATCTTAACTAAATGATACAGCAAAATTTAAGTTATTTTGCTAATATCTTTGCTCTGTTAAAAGCTTAATGGGTGCTTGATTCTCTGTTGACATATGCACAAACTACAGCTAAAAAGCTTTTACTATGTAAAAGCAATTGCTAAATTAAAGCAAGTTTAATTTCCTAAGGACTTAGAAAAAGATTCCCATGCTTGTCTCACCTCTCAGCTGGACTAAGATGTAACTCTCTGTGTATAGGTTTGTACAGGTTTAGGCTGTGGCTCGGGTGAGGTCGCAGGTCACCAACCAGGTGATAGATCAGTCTTTGATTCCTGCTGTCTTGGGCAAGATACTGCACCCAAAGCTGCCCCCAGTGGATCAAATGGATGAAGTCTGCTTATGTGAATGGGAGAAAGCGCTTAGGTGTAGATAAAAGCGCTGTAAAAATTAATTTGTGTGTGACTGGGTGAATGAGACTTGTAGCAGAAAGAGTTTTGAGTGTTTAAAAAGGTACTATATAGGTATTAGTCAGTTTATTATACTTTTTCCTGATTAAAATTTATTCAAAACAAAGCTGCTAGAAGTTAAAAGGGTACAATGAAGAGGCAACACATCACTACTGTTTTGGCCCAGCTGCCGTGGGTACCAGTGTACTATAAAACCAAGCTTTTTATAGATCTAGTAATTCCATATTTTGTCCCCAGTCATCCTCGAAAGAACTCCTTCCCACTCTTGCCTAAATGTTGCTTATCATGCTAAGCTATTCTTAAGTCCCAGAATATAGATATGGAGCTGGTTATAGGTAAAGTCAAGTCAGCCACCTCTTCTCCTCCTCCAGCTGGTTGAGCAGCTCCACTTTGTCTCTATCTGCTGCTTCTACCATCGACCGCAGCTGATCCATCTTGGCCTCCATCTCCACTGCGTACTGTGGCATACAGAATTAACATGAGTGCACACATCACAAGTAAGCTGTTAGATGTTGGTGACAGACCACACTTTGTTTGACCTACTGATGCCATTTTCAAAATGTGATATTGTTTCATTTTCTTATTTATTTATTCTGAAATTCTGAACTGTTCACGTGTCTCACCTGATCCCGGCATTTCCTCAGCAGAGTCAGCTCCTGCTGCACCTCTCCTGCATGGCTGGTTGCTTTTGCCACCTCGCACCTCTCCAGGTCCCTCTCTGCCAGCAGCTGCTCGATGTGCTGCTGCTTCTCCTTCAGAGCCTCCTGCAGGGCTGTGGTGCCTGAAATCTTACGAGCGTACCGAACTGACGTTTCTGTCAGCTGTAAAAATGACACAAGCACTCGTGAATCACACTGCAGATGTTAAATCATGCACCACGCAGATTAACCAGATATCTCACCAGTCCTGCTCGGCTGGGTTTCCCACTGATTGAGGAGGTGGCAGAGCTGATGGAGCTGATGGAGGAAGCGCTGGGGCTTCTTTTGAGAATGGACCTCCTCCGTGAGCTCTTTGCCTTGGTAGGGGTGGTACAGGGGAAGCCAATTCGGGTCACCTTGTGAACTGGAGCAAACAGGCCATACCTGGGCATGCACTGGAAGTACCTGAGGAGGAGACAGGTTGTACTATGCAATTATCCTCTGTCATATGTACTACAGACAGAGCTCAGAGTATTGTAAATTTGCTATGCAAATAAAACTAAAAATCTGTCTGTGCTCTTTACCTGGTTCCAGCTACAGCGCCATCATTCTTGCCTAGAGGTTCATCTAGTTCGACTCCACACCAGTCTCCCTTAGCAAAGTCTGTCTCTCCGAGAAACCTCACCACTCCTGCCTTGGTACCACCAACCTACACACAAAACAATTCATGCAAATTCATTTTTATCTAAAAATGTTATCTTTTTTTCTATTTACAATAACGGCTTCAATCTAGTGGAATTATTCAAGGTGAAGCAAGCAATTTATCGAACCTGAAACATTTACACAAGCAGCCCTAGGGGAAAAAAAGCACTGAGTAGTGTAGCAATTAACTTTTCTGTGAGGCTCCATGTCTACATCACTGATATTCTGCCCTAACGCCAGCCGTCACAGTGGATTCAGTCACTCTTACCAGCACTCGGTCTCCCAGCCTTAGCTCCCTTCTGTTCTTCTTCGTGGAATCTGGGTCGGAGAGGTTGGACACTGACTCACTGGATGTCAGGATCCGGTTAAGTGCTCCGCCTGTCTTAATGCCGGTGCCTGGAGCTGAAGGAAGAAGAAAAAAAACAAATACAAGAACGATCACAGGGTCCACATTTGTCAGTCACTTTGTAAGAACATCTTAACTGAAGCTAAACTGTGAGATGTCCCAAATGCTATTTTGTTTCTTCCAGTCTCTGGCTGTGATCAACAGCCTTTATTTAAAGCTGTTAAAGCTGGAGGTGGGGTGATGTGACCAAAGTCTGATTTTAAAACTGGAAATTTGTTTGACAAATTCATTCTAAACACTAGGTAAAGAAAATGGCTGTGCTGTGAAATCAACTGTGTGTCTACCTAAAATAACAAGGCAGAGAAAACGCTATAGGCAGCAGGTTTGTTACTTTTTTTTTTTGTATCTTTAGAGACCAAGATCCTTGTTGCAGAGCAGTAGTCTACTACCTATAGACTTTTAGCTAGGTGCTTAAAAAGTTTTATGGCAAAGTTTCTAAGTCAGCAACAGTGAGTTGAATTGAAGCAGGACGATGACTGTGAGAGAGGTACTCAAGGTAAGAGGGCCAAGAGCACTTGGCATTAAGAAGTTTATCTTCTCTTCTACTATCTGACTAATTTTTATTTTACTTTAGTTAGTTATTTTCCAAAATGTATCTTTGTACATTTAACTTTTAGTGTTGAACAGGACAGAAAGGAGAGAAAGAGAGAGAGAAAGCAGGGAGAACAGCACACAGGAAATGGCCTGGGATGGAATCTAGCCTCTGTGGTGGCCTTGAGGCATGTGTGTCGCCCACTTAACCCTGAGTGATCAAACTAACATTCAAATTTCAAACTACATCCAAAGGTAACCCTGACAACATGGAAAAAAATCTCTTAAATATAGCACGACTATAAGGGAATTTTAAGAATAAGCAAATGGCTAAAGTGGATGTTAACCATCTGCTGTTAAACCCATTAGTCAGAAACAAACACACACACACACACACACACACACACACACACACACACACACACACACACACACATATTTCAACGTTCTTTGCTCACAAAACACATTACACTCACACACATAACTACAAACACACACACACAGCACACACATCACCACACACAACACACACACACACACACACACACATCACACACACAACACTATATATTTCTCTTTATGCTGCAAGTAGTAGAGGATAGTGGAGCATGGCTCTTATGCAACATTAAGGCTAAGATACAAGTCTTTCCCTAAGTTTAACAAAGCTGATAATGGCATCTCTGAAAATATTTGGTCTTTAAAGCACAGTTATCCACCCTGTTATGTTTTCACAAATAAACCTACTAGATGAAGTAGTGCCAGCAGGTGCTGCCTCGCTTGTTGCGGAGACTCCTTGTGCTGGGCTGGCCCGGCCTCCATTCGTCTCCTTCTCTGGCAGTGCTGTTCTGGACAGCTTTGAAGGCCGCGTGAATATCCCCCGTCCGTCCTCACACTGGAAGTACCGGACCCCTGCCACAGAGCCATCGTTTTTCCCGATCGACTCGTCCAGCACAATGCCCGCCCACTGGCCGGGAGCAAACTGCGTCCCTCCAACAAAGTGCACATAGCCAGGCTTGTTGCCGTTCACCCAGACTCTCTCTCCAATTTTAAAGTCTGTGTTTCCATCTTGGACTGGTGAGGTCACACTGCCAGGGGACTTTTCAGGAGGAACTGGCTTCGAGGTACCTGCAGTCGGAATCATGTTTTAATAAACCATAGTTAATAATCTTAAATATTACTTTTTTATAGTTAGATTTAAAAGGTGCATTTTTTGCCAAAAAGAATTAGGTTAATTAGGTTAAAACAAAGGAAAATCAAATTTATTTATTGGATTTTCCTTGGTTTTGTTATTATTTATTAAATTATTAATAAACACCAAGTCAGAATCCAAGGAATCATATTGTAATTAGTTGGAAAAGTTGTTGGACTGGTGCACCCATAGCAGTACGAGGAACAGATTAAGTTTTAGGGAGATTTAACCCCCAAAAATGCTTCTGTTTGGGGATTAGTACCTGGTGAGAAATGTCAGTATGATCTGTTTAATACAGTCTGCATTCTAAAAAAAATCTGCAGCTGTAAACATTTTGAGTTTCTTGTAGTCTTTCTCCATTTTCGCTTCATAAATAATGCTGAATCCAAATAACAATCATCCAAAGACTGATTTAAGGATGTAGATGATTAAAAAGAAAAGCACCTTTAGTGATACTATATACAGAAATACACATGGAGGTCCAGCACACTTTGAGAAAACTCACTGATAAGTTCTGTAGTTAAGAACGGCCCAAACAGATACAAACGATAGCATGACACTTCTTGTTGACAGAATTAGACACTTTAATAAACAGAAACAATCTTGAGGGGTTTTTTTTCTTCAACAGCTTCTTACCAGATGACGGTGATGTCCGTGATGGAACGCCGGAGGGACGGACTATTTTACTGGGGGGTTTTAGCCCACTGGCTTTGCCTGATGTACTCATGGCTCCTTGTTTGTCCATGGCTGGGGGGGGCCTATTGAAGATGAGGGATTAGGCCTTCCCCACCACCTTACACGGTCACAGTATGATAAACAGGAGCTGGCAAAAAGAAAAGAAGAATGTATCCTCAACAAAAACAAATATAAAAAGATGACAGTGACAATAAAGAGGACACTGAAAATGCTACATCCAGATTAAGATAATCAACTTTTGGTTATTTCCTTACCTGGATGACTAAGCATGCATTAAGAAATAAAAAGATGACATGTTAATATCAAGGCAATATCATGTGTTTTAATTTTTTAATTGTAAAAATCTAAACTGGTTATAAACTATTATACAAAAAGATAGATTTTAAATTTAAATTCTAAATCGTTCTGGTTATTTTGAATGTGTTTTTTGTTAATCGGCATCAAAAATGCCTTATTAAATATTTTGTGTTCTTTCTTGTCTTAGGACTTTTCATGTGTGACTGTAGCGCATTCACAGAGGCCTACAACCCCCACAATTACATCAGTGTCTCAGTGAGAGCTGTCGCTCTGCTCAGTGAGGCCTCAGTTTGTCTCAACACCTCCTACTGTATGTCACTAAGTCACAGCCCAGTGTTTATTACAGAGCTGTTCATTATCATCTGTGAAATCACTGTCATATTCAGCTGACCACATGGTATGTCTCCAGTTTCAGCTCACATGCCCATTAGTAGAAACATCTCTGCTACCATTTAATTCACAAGGTACGTATATGAGTCACACTGACTACAACAAGAACGTCTTTGGACATTAAAGCTAAGCGACTAAAGCCACCAAGCACTAGATGTTCATGGATGGGAGCTAAAGGTAAAAACTCATTTCAGGATGTTGGAAGACAAAATGTGTTGATTTATTTGGTTGTAAAATGGTTTATTTCAGACAGCTATACATCTACCCCAGGTTTACTGATTAGTGTTTCTAGACAACAACGCTTTAAATATTAAAAAACATGTTTTACACCATTTATTTATATGTCAAATTCAGATGTGTGTTTCCACATGCTATAATGGCCCAACCTGAAAAGACAGATTTTCACCTTTCACTAACCAAAGCTCAACATTTTTACAAAATGTTAAGATTTTGTAAAAGGTTTCAACAAACCGTTCACGAAATCTTCTTATCAAAGAGATGGGCAGGGTGAGACGAGTTGTATTAGCTTAGACGCCAGTCACTAAATAACAAAATTAGCGTTTGACATCAAACAGACTATATTGTGCTAAAGGAGCCAGACTTTGTTGTAATTTTTGAAGTGCTCTTGGGCAAAGTTGTCTAGGCTTTCTGCAGGTCTTTCATTGGCTGCTTTTTCACTCATTTCCAGTCCAATCTTTGTACCTGACCATTTTCAGAGGAGTGTTTTTTATTTGGTTCTATCAGCTACTTAACACTGACCTATGAATCATTCAAGTATGTAAAAGACACCTGAGTCAAGGGATGAACCAACTTAGCAAAAGAGCTGTTTTAAATAGTTTGTCATGGCACTTTGTTACTAACACCCAGTTGCAAAAACACATATTTTTTTCACATTTCTTTAGCTAAATCTATGAAAAATACCAAAGATAACACAGTTTGACAGGCATAAAATATTATTTTTTCAATAACAAGGTTATTCCCAAAGAGCTATAGCCAAAAAACATGGCATATCTCAGCATGCTGTGCAGTGTCCTTTAAAAAAAAAAAAAAAAATACAGCTCCTAACATAGGACCTGAGAGACACATTTGGGCCTTCCATTGATCTATTTTGCTGAAGCCTCAAGGAAAGGAAAATGTTGGTATAAAAAATGTACACAAGAACTCGACTGAAAAATCAATGGTCCACAGTCACAGTGTTCAATTGCCTTAAAGCAGGATTATGAATCAAGAAACCTCCTTTAAATAATTATAATTAAATTAAGTGCAGAACAGAACAGACAGAAAACAGAGGCCAGTGGGAGATTTTCCCTAAACGTCACAATCGAATACCAGCACCATCTGTACAGACATGAAAATACAGGTGAAAAGTTTTTATGAATAATCTTAGCTGAAAAATCCGGACAGCTTTTTGATTATGTGTTAATTTGATTCAGTATCTTGAAAACTTCCAAAGATGATGTTTGGGTTATAAAGAAAAATCTAATTAAAGAAGATGTGTCTTTCATGAAAGACACATCTTCTTTATTGTTTGTAAGATGCTGGAGAATATGTTCTTTTTATATGAAATGACAACATCACAATGGACATATTTACATGGAGAAATATAACTGATAAGAAATCTTTAAGAATTCGAAAAATAGCTTCATAATGGAGGCAAATGTTGTTAAATTATTCTCAAAAACAGATGTTTAAATCTAACTCAAATCTAATGGGACTCAGGGGCACCAGTATTCCTCCTGGGCCACCAAAGACTTAACGCAGCCTTGTCTCCGAAGCAACCGGCACCGTGAGCAGTACCTGCTCTGTCCATGGTAATAAAAGTATATCATAGATGCACTCATTTAGGTCGACCTTTTTAGTTGGAGCACTAAATCGTTTCTCACAACACTGAAGAGAAATCCTCTGCAGGTAACATTACTTCAGAGGTCTTCCCCCGCCCAGCAGGTGTTGCCAGACCAACACAACAAGCACACCTACAGCTGTCATGCATCAGCCTGCTCTCCATTCTCTGCTGCCAGCTCACTAACGACCATTCAATTATCTGCGGTTTTGCATGATCACACAAAAGCAATTAATGAAGGGAGAAATCGTTAGTGTACATAACAGACACATAAGAAGACTGGTGTGTGTTGTTTGTGTGGGCTGGGCTCTCTGTATCTATGGAGCTAGTGAGATAACTTGGATTTTTACCCGCCACACTTTCCCACTAGGCATCCTGCACATTTAACCAATACCGGCGGACTGACTGGCATGTCATTTAGCAGCAGATCATAGTGATTTATGTGAGGTAACAGGCACTTGTTTTTTTTATCATATTTTGCATCCTGTTAGCTAGAGCCACGGTGGTTGCTGGTATGCCAAAGCTAGCTAGCTTCAAAACAGCAATAACGCACAAACTGTGGTTAATATAAGACAACTAACACTCTAATGAGGCGATATTAAAGCAGACTAAACACAGACAGCAGTGGGGAAAAAAGCTGCTTTGAGAGCTTACTTTGTCTCGTTAGATGAACTGGGTCTCAGTAAGGAATGCCGTGAGAAGGTGCAGCGTACCTTGCACCGTTACATGTTTTTTCCAACAGCTACTGTTTCCCAGCCCAGCCCCGACTCACACAATCTGACGTCACTCTTGGAAATGATGCTGCCTTCACAGCCCCATCATAAGCTCGTGAACTGTGAAGCCTAGTTGTAAATTTGGGGATCTGAGGTTACTATCGTTGCCAAAAATTAAGGTAATACTGGAAATGAACTTAATATTTTCGTTAGCGTAAAATAAAACTAGAGTTCAGAAAAATACAAAATGTGAATTAAACAATAATATTTACTTAGGTAATATAACATTTCAAATATCAGGAAAATATTTTGATCCGTTTTATCAAATTTTCCACAACCAAAAGGAGGAAGATACAATGTTGCGTGAGTTAATATGGGCTGGGATATCTGCATTACTGTCAAAGTGTTGTTTTGTTTCTTTGTTTTTAATGATATTGTGATCTTCAGTCTAGCCCCTTAAAAATATCACATATCAAGGAGTAATAAAACAAAAACTGAAAGTAAATAGGGAAACTCACAATGGAAATTATCTGAATCTACATTAACTAAAAAAAATGCTAACTAAAAATACATAAAATACTAATAATAAAATGTCATCAGCAGTTATTGAAATGCAATTTCTTAAACTGGGAAAAGAAAAAATAAATAAAATTCTTAACACCTCACAGTAAAAATAAAGGCAAGTACTGACATAAAAATATACTTTTGTAGATGTACGCTATTGTCACTGACGCATAATGCGAGAGCTTCATTTTGCTGCTTTAGCTCTCTGAATCATAGCTTTGTTTTCTACACTTTGCGCAAAGCTGAAAAAGAATAGCTCACTGGATTCGTTTTCAATCGACTGTTTTTGTAAAAACTGAGGAAAAAACAAGAAATATTATCACAGTCCCTGAACCCCAAAGAGACATATCTAAATAACTTAGATATCTAATTTACTGTCAACAACTAAATGATTTTTATTGGATTTTTTTTCAAAGCAAAATATTTTTAAAACTTTTCAAAGGCTAATTTTACCACCCACCTAACTATGGAACAGCCATTGTTTAAAATAAATAAATAAATAAACCCACGACCTTAGTGAAAGTACATTATTAGTAAGTAGAAAACATTCAAAAGTAAAAGTGCGCAAAATGTTCTCGGTTCCATTCAGACACTGAAAAGTGGACCAAAAGAACTATGTAATGTTTAGGTGTAATCTTATTTTTTCTTTATTGAAAACAAAATGTGACAGGGTACACAGACTGAAATGTTATACAAGCAGAAATACACTTGCAAAGGCATTTACATACACAGTGCTTTATTCAAACTAGCTGAAATTATCTGCAAACCATACTAGACTATCTCGAAAAACCTCCCTTTGCATGTGGGTTTTGCCCTGATAGTTTATTAGCACTAACGTGAGCTAAACTTTCCTGTGGCTGTACAACCATTTCATTCAATAAATATTATTTCAGTGGGCAGCCAAAAGATCAGTGTTACACTTGAACTGCCTAATAAAAACATTAAAACCAACCTTATCAAGTATCGTGGATACATGAGCTGATGGCATCTATGTGAGATGTTGCCTTGACAAGCTTTTAAGTTCATTCTTTACTCACCTGCCCAGCTACTAGGGAAATGTAATTGTAAGCTACTAACGACAGGTAAGTGGCTTATAATCACAAAGTACATCCAAAGTCACAACAGGTGCATTATTGCAATAAAAGCACTATACCACTAAGATGTATAGTAAGTGAGTCATTTTGTTCATAATTACAGCAAAAACTATTTGACATTTAATTTCAACTACAACAATATAAATGTTTTCAATAGCCAGGAGTTTACCATGCATTTGTGTATTCAGGTGGATCTTAGTTTCCCTACAGAATTAGAACAGGGACAAGCAGCTGGCTTTACAGTCTTCTATCATCTATGGTGGAAATGTCATTCTCTGATGACTTTTTCTCGTCTTTGTCGCTGCTTCTTCTCAACAGTTTGTTAAGGACCTTGTTGAAGGCTCCACTGAAGGCAGGGCTCGAGAAATAATACAAAACAGGGTTGAGGACACTGTTGAAGTAAGTCAAACACACTGACGTGTAGAATGCCAGGTTGGCTTCTTCAAAGTATTTGCATTCATTGTACCATACCTTGAGGACCCACACTGCAATACGCGATATGGTGCTGGGGAAAAAGCAGATGATAAAGATTAAAGCCACGGCCAGGATGAACTGAACGGCCCGTTTGATTTTCCCTTTCTTGTCCACAGTCCGGATTCTCAGCTGCCATGTAATTCTGATGGTGCAGAAGGCCACGATGGCAGTGGGCAGGAAAAACTGGACAACATAGAAAGTGTTATGCCAGGTGGAAAGGGGACTAAAGCCCATGCAGATGTTGAAACTTTCACACTGCGTACGGTTGTTGTTGTAATAAAAGTGCTGATCAGCAAGAAGGTACCCCGTAGCAAGGAAGATCAAGCACCAGAGGCCAAATGAGACCCAGAAAGCATAGCCCAGCCCCATTTGGTTGATCCGATTCGACGGGTGGACGATCTTGAAGTAACGATCTACAGCCACGGCCGTGAGGAAAAAGATCCCAGCTGCGCGGTTGGCTGCCAGCAAAAAGAGCAAGATGCGACATGGGATGTCACCGTAGAGCCAGTTTTTCCCACGCCTGTAGTAATCTGCTCGGAAAGGCAGGCAGAAGAGCACGATGGAGTCTGCAACTGCCAGGTGAGTGAGGTACACAGCGTTGGGTTTCCATGTGTCCATGTGAAAGATGAACATCCACAGGGCGACAAAGTTCCCCGTTAGTCCAAACATGAACTCCAGGATGAGAACTGGAGGCAAAACTTGGTCCAGGATGGGAGATTCGAAGGCACAACAGAGATCTGTGACTGTGAGATTCATCTTCTGACCCATCAGAGGAAACGGCTGCTGTAACATACAGTGTCGGTAAAGAAAGGCTCCACCAGGTGATTTCTTTGGAAACTGAATCGTGTTTGCGCATATGCAAAAGGTGCTCAGCCAAACATACTAATCTTTATGTGGAGTGAACATCTGTGCACTCCGTTATCTATGGGGAAGCGGTATTGACCCAAAGGAGCATGGAAACAACTGTAAATGTTATCTGTCCGGGGAGTGCACCTTCATTATAAAACTATTATGCAGGGGAATAGGTTTACTCACGAGTATTGAGTGGGATGGATGAAAAACAAGTAACCTGCGGCCATTTAAGTAACTAAGATAAAGCAGCATATCAGAGCCCTGAAAAAGACCTCATTTTTAATGCTTTAAAAATAACAGACACACAACCATTAGAAGAAAAAAAGTCAAATGTGGAAAGAGTGTAAGGGTGAAGGAGACTGAAATTTATTAGCCTACAGTTTTGCTTGAGTGAAGAACATTTGGGAAGGATTCATGTCATACCACACCTTTGGCAAACGAGAGAAAGCAGCTATTAACTAAAAAAAAAAAAAATGCCAAGTGAGTGGCTGAGTCCACAGCTTTTTATGTACAGTAAATAAAATAGGTATAAAATGACTTAATGTGTACATTTGGCCAGGTCGTCGCTGTTACAGGTCACATCCTTTCAGCAAAAGTGCATATTTGGTCTTCACTTCTTGACTTCACCCAGATCATCAATGCTGTCATCATCCACCTACAACGCACAGAGAGACACGGAGACTGAACTGTGTGTCATGTTTGAGATTATAGAGGACATTTTCAAAAGCAGTTCAGAAAATCCGCTATTCACACCGTCCACAGACCCACGACACTGTCCTGTGCTATTATTTTGGATTGAATGAGTTCTATCCAATTTATATTGACACTAACATATGCTGCTGTTTAGAAAAAATTTAGTTATTATGGCATTTATTGTTTTACTGCCCAGCCCTAGATGGCACCTTAAGATGTGCATAAACAAATGACTCAATAAAACTGAGCGAACGTTATAAATAAGAGAGTGCCAAAATTCCTCCACAACACAGCAACATACTGAGGGGGGTGGGGGCACTTATTTTTTTAAAAACACATTACTGTAGGGACACAGTATATACACCAGTCCCTCACATACATACTCTACAATGTAAAGTACTCTTATGCATGTCTCCCCTCTTCTTGCAAATGTTTGCTGGAGTATGCTGTGTTGCACATGCAAGCAACAGGAAGCTAACTGCAGTTCACTTAAAGGCAGCCGGTGTCACTGATAACAACTTGAACTTTGTTACGTTTTTACAAATTGCCAGTGAGAGAGTAAGTTAAGAATGAACCTTTTCAGCACACCCTGGTTTTCTCCAGAGACGGACAGCTTACCTCAGGCCACTTCTCTTGAATGACGTCAATTATGTCGTCTGTAAAATCTCCCTGAATGATTATTTCATCCTCTGCTGTAACTGAGGCACCACAAGAGAATTTCTGGGCAAAGAATCGCTGAGCCTCTTTAAGGTCGATGTCTGCAAGAGTCAAACCAGAGAATCATGTTAAGAATAAAACATGAAGGGAATAAGATTTTGGCAGCCTAGAGGATAAGGACAGCACAAGAGCTCTCACCAAATGTCGCCAGGCCACACACCCGTGTGACGTATTTCTTCTTGGCTCTTGGGATCTTTGCTATTGTAACTTTCTGAGGCACAGTCTTCTTTTTCTGTTTGATCTGGCCTCTTCCACCTTAAAAGGTCAATTAAAATGAACTGGATTTAAACTCATATAGTGTTAAGTCGCACACAATTAAAGCACTGATAAAAAGTGAAATGCAGACAACATGAAGCAATCAATCCTTAGCTATCATTTGAATCCTAAAGACTTACTGGAATCAGTACTCAAGTTTATCAGACCCATGTCTTAAAATGAACCTATGAGGTCTCAGAGTGTAAATAAACCTTAAACAAGGCAGGTTTCATACTTATTCCATTACTTTATATGTAGGAAATTTGATGCACTATAGCAGTGAATCATGAACCAGTAGATTCTGATTCCTTTTCCCTCTCTCTCACGTTTACGTACCTCTCTTCTGTTTCTTCTTTTCCTCCTCCTCGCCTGCAGGAGGAGCATCTCCAGTGCCCGGTTCCTGCTTAGGCGCATTCGCTGCTGGGCCAGTGGGACAAATGGAAAATGGAACAACATTAAACCCACTCCCTCAACAACATGTTTAGCTTTCAAGGGATTATTATGCAGCTTGAAAGCCTGGAATCATTACAGATCTTTACAGCAAATCGTTTCACCTTTCAGGCCTTGAAAGTCTGTTTTAAACAATTAAAAGCCAGTTCTGTTCACACTGTGGTGAACCTTGCAAAGACAGGACCTCTAGAACTCCAAAACTATATTTTTAAAGTACACATGACAATAAAAAGCATTTCATGTAGCATGGAGCTGACCAAAAATTCATCACACTAAATGTTATCAATCCAAAGAGCAGCGTGAGAAAAACTTTAATGTCAGCATGACCTAAATGAGCGATTCGAGAGATCAGTTTATTCACAACAGCTGGCTAAGTACCAGTTTGGTATTATAACATATATGATTTAGCTTCCACAGAACAAAGTCAGCCTGAACAACGTCAGAGCCTGCTCAGAGCAGCAGTGTAAGGGAACTCTGAGCTTTTTCAAATAAAGCATTACTGTTAGAGAAAAAATAATCCTGACTGACTGTGAGGGACCCAGCAACTGCAGCTAATATTAGAAAATTGTGGCTTTTGTTGGAGTCAAAATGTTAAGTCTATAATTATCACCTCATCTAATCTTTTAAGAGGAAGGCTATTCTGTTAATGTCCACAACTGTATTTTTAGTCCGTGAATGACCCACGATTTCAAAATAATGCTCATGGCTGTTTTAGTGCAGCCCCTCGGACCATCTGTCCCTCTTTAAGACAGTCTTTTCTAACGTACCTGAGATGACCATATTAGAAACAGTCCCTGTCTATGACATCAAACACATCCAAGAGTAGAATAACCTGCCTGAAACATGAGTTTTTAGAGCAGTCTGAAACCTGAAATTTTGGCTCATTACTTGCACCTACACTGACATTTAGAACTATGACCATGATCAATAAGAGCATCCAACTTGCAAAAATGGTTACATTCATTCATTATTATATATCTAAAATCTGAAACGCCACTCACCTACAGTCATCCTGGCAAACACATCTGGAAAGTTCTTCTCCAGCCACTGCCTACATTTAGCTGGCTCAGGCATGTACTCACAGTACTGCAGACACAACACTGCAGTTATTTACGTTGCAGCAGAAAAAATACCCCCAACTGAATATTTATAGAAAAGTGGGTCACACAACTAAATATGGAAACTGATAGTCAAACTCACCTCTGTAGGCAGAGAGCACACTGCAGAGAGAGAGAGAAACAAATCAAAAATTAATGTCACATTTTGAAAAGGGGCCACCGCAAAACAATTGAAGATGAAGTGTGGTTTTATATACTGCACCTCCACAATAAAGAACTTTCATTGGGTACTTTGAATCAGGGTCAGCTGTCCCTTGCTCTGATCTGCTTTCCAAGGACCCAGATTCCATCTCAGTAGTAGCCATCAGAAATTAACTAGAAAAAAAGGGACAATGAACACAGGGCACACACAACATTTATCCAACTCATGTTAAATACCAGTAGTTTGTGAGTTGTGTTTTAGGATTACAATTAAAAAATACCACAGAAAGATGTGCTTTCTTTTGTTTTTAAAATGGGTGCAAGTTTTTTGTTCTTTAAACTGACAGTAAATGGCAAAAAAAAGCCTTTTAGAATTTACAATATCACAACATTCCCAAAGATATTCAGTTTACCAACATTTCACAAAGTAAATGTACATATTCAAAAAAAAAAGGTAACTTTATATCTATATTTACCACACACAGACACTTTGATGAGATGCCAAGTATATTAAGGCAACGCAAAAATATTCAGCAAGTTCTTGTTTGTTTGTTTTTCTAGGTTAGAGAACAACACCATCCACATCAATTCATGTGTGAAATACTTATTTCTCCTATACTGAAGGTTCAATCAGTGCCCTGGTCCATATAAAAGATGGACAGAGCTACAGTGATGTCACCTATTCCTGAAGTACCATTTTGAAGTCTCCAAAGCTGTCATTTTGGTTTTAAAAGAACAGAACAAAAAAAAAAAAAAACAACCCTGGATGTGGTAAGGAGTGACTAGTGGACATCAACAACAAGCCAATGCAGACACCACAGATAATCCATTGTAAAACATGTTATGCCCAAGATTTATGGGACAAATTGAATTTTTTTTAATGAAGTATGATCCATAACAAGTGACAGGGGTTGTAAACGCAACAGGAAAGTGTTTATAATCGTCAATACAGAAATCCATCTTCCCATAGTCTTCTGTAGGACCTGAAATCTTTTTGCAACCCCAGCTATCACCATCTGGCAGCCTTTCGATAGAATGCATGTTTAAGGCACTTCCACATTCTGGGCCACTTTTCACACCCAAAAGCTAGATCCATATTTTATACTGTCTATGGTTTCTACTAATTGCGTGATGCTAACACGTCTCATCTCTGTTTGAACTTATATCACTAAGTTATTTGGCCAATAAAAAGGAAGAAACTTGCAGACAGCATTCTTTAATAATTCATTTACAGAGGAATCCATGCTTTCCTTTGCTGGCACCAAATGTCAATATATAGAAGCTAAATTAGTTTGAAACACTGCATGTATTTGCATTGCTTGCAGATATATGTGAAATATCAGCAGGCAGATATTTTTTGCCTGATACTGGCCCATGGCCGATATATTAGCGTTTACATTTTCCAAAAGTGTGAACATGCAAAAACGTGCAAACTATTTATTCTGTACAGGAATTATTGGAGAAAAGGGTGACTTTTCTGAAAGGGTTTGAACACAGCTTGTCCACCAGAGTGAATCTGACTCTAGGTACTGTGCGTATTAAATGTAGCAACTGGGTGGAGTTTTTAACTTTTCACTTTAACCAACACGTTTGTGAGAAAGAAAATGCTTCGACCTCAACATATTTTATGTATATATGTAAATAAAGGCTAAGAATCAATATCAGATGGTTTATCCCATGAAAAAATGGATTGGATGGATTGGGT